TTTTTGCATGCTCTATAATATGTATTTTATCTTAATGTCTTTAGATTGCTGAATTACTTAAATTTTAGAATTTGTTTTTTCCTACGTTCAGGAGATTAATTTGCTTCTAGAAATACATTTAACTTTTTTACATTTAAGCTGACCTGATTTTGCTCGCCTTATTTCGGATACTTATTCTGTATTAAGTATCCAACAGCAGTCAAAGCTACTTTCAGGAGTCATCTAATTCCTTCAGCTTAATTGCTTAAACCCTAATCTACCGATAGGGATAAAAGTATTAGTTTTGCTCTCGAAAAGAAGTAATGAGTGCTAGGCGAATGATGGATGAAGCGTATCCGGAATGGGTCCCATTGTTTGCTCATTTCTCCTTTAAACAGACACGTAATTGACAGTCCAGACACTGATGAAAGCTTCTGTTCGTCTCATAAGTTTATGCAAGGAAATATTCAGGAAAAAACATAAAATAGTGATGATGATTAAGATTTTACAGGCAAAATTGTCTTTTCATGTCGGAGGAAAAGAAATAATTATAATAAGTATTTTAATTGTTACAGAAATAATCGGAGGAAAAGAAATAAATATAATAAGTATTTTAAACATTTTAAACAAAGATTTTGTCTATGTTTGAAGTACTTTATGTTCAGTGTGAATTTAATATCCTTTTACGCACTCAGAAATTGCATTTCAAAATTTTAAGAATAATTATTAGCTTGTCTAAATTAATTAAACTATTCTTCCTTTATAATTAGTTTTTTAAAGAAGAGCTACTATTATTAGCTAATTAATGCTAACAGTTTTCTATTAGCCTTTAATGCTATTAGGGGTTTGCTTAATAGTATCAAAGTCGTGATTTATACGAAATGTCTACCGCAACTATCTCTTTCGCACAGAGAGACGACCAAATCTGTTTTCAACAAACATCGAAAACGCCCGTGTTTACGAATTTGTCTTGGAATAGTTTTCCTTTTCCCCTTCTGCGGTTTCATCCTTTCATCCATTGTGTGCAGTTTCACCTTAGGGCCGGATTGCACCTGCGAACGTCAATAGCTTTCCGTATTTCTCCTTTATTTGCTTCAAAAGAATGATTGACATGTCTTTTAACAACTTGCGAAACCAATGAGCCATACACTAACGTGGAGGGGAAAGAACTAGGTAGAAAATAAACGAGGCGTAGGGGCGGTTTGCCGTTGCCTGAATGAACGGGCGCTACGGGCGACTTCGATGCGAAAGAGCTATAGTACTCAGTGCATGATATATATTTATATTACTACATCGTTGCAACAGACTATTTCTACTATATGACGAATGAATATTGTTATTATTTCTTTTAATTATTCCTTAAGTTTAATAATAACATGGAAGTATAAAGTGCAAAAATATTAAGCTTCAGTCATATTAGAAAGAGTCTCTTTTATTTTCTCAAATATAACACTTTCCACGTAAGCAATCTGTATTCTGACTTAGGTATGTGATATTAGTTGCAATTATCAAGCATGCAATTATCGTACTAAAAATGAGAGCATGTATTTTCTCTTTCATGAAAAATAATGAACATTTGAAACACTTTTCCAGCGAAGAAAAGTACTTTAATAGCACTTAAATATTTATAACTTTGATACTTTCATACAGTAAGTAATTGCAATAGAAACTATTTGATACACCGTAGAAGTGCCGAGTATAAATAGCCAGTTTTAACCAGAAATTTCATTTCGAATAGTCTTATAATTTAATTTAAATCACTCTTTATATTACAAGCTCATTTTAGCGTGTGTAAGTTCGTAATACCATGAATCATTTAAATTTAATTCCTGTTAAGAATTATTTATATTTTTAAGATCTAAATCAGATGAGAAAGTGAAATAATTATAATTACTTTGTATTTGAGGAAATTCAGTTTGTGCGATTCAATAGTAAACAAACGGAGAAACTTTTAAGTAATAATTAGCACAAATAATTAAAAAACTACAGCTGATTGTTGCTCCGGTGGAGGTTAGTTTAAAGTTATTAAAGTATTGCTATTACGTTGGTAAATGCAATAGAAATTAGAATGCATGACGTGGAGACTGCGTGTGGTGAAAAGAAGAGAGGTGGGGGTTTAAACGGTTTTTTTTTTCACTCCTCGGACAGAAAAGAAGTCGATATCGTGTCATTCACAAGATTAATATGCTGAAAAAGTTTGAAACCTGCTAAGAAATCTAAACTGAGAAGCGAATTATTACGACCAATTACTAAGGTTGAAAATTGAAACCTGTGGTTTTTATTTTAACTCTGAAAACTATTGAAAATCTTTCTTTATTTCCTTCCGTTTAATATACCTCGATGTAAATTTAGACCAAAATTTTTATTGGCACTTATTCTCACCCAAGTAGTTGCTTGCGAAAGATTCATGGAAAGTATTGTGGCTCTCTATTCGTGTCGGAGGGTGGCTTTGCAAATGCGGTCAAGAGCAAGAGACTGACGTTAATTACGGAAGGGGAAAGTAAACGGCTGTGTCAGGGATCATAAGGGGAGATATATTTAAAAAAAAGTAATTTTAGGTCTCATTCAGTATCAGTATATCAGGAATATATATCGCGCGCTGGAGATAAAAATGTCTTTTTTCGTGCAGTGTTGCATTGCTCGCTTTGAAATCGCTGAGTTTGTTAATCAAAAATTCATTAAACAACTTCGAGCTTTCAGATGCCAATATTCTATGGAAGATTACGTTATTCAAATTTTGATGGCTCTAGGTACCGTCGTTTTATCATAAGCGAGAAACATACAGACATTCATGCAGACTCTTCATTATTTAATTTATTTAAATATAATACAGGGCGATAATATTTGGTGGCAACAATTTGAAAAGTGATTCGCCTTTTACAGTTTTCAATGCAAAATGCCAAAATGAAATTAATAATCCTTCTGGGCAAATTGCCCCTTTGGACTAATAACGTATTCTAAGAGCGATGGGCTAGCAGTAAGGGTTTGGAATCAAGAATATATTTCGCAGAATCATGATATTACTTGCAAGTATTTCATTAACTGATATCGTTAAATTTTGAAATTTCATATAAACTAGAAAAGGGATATAAAAATTAGGAAATATTTTATTTTTAAATAAACATTCAATTTATGTGTAGATAGCTGCAAATATTTCACTCAGTTGCTGTCGCAGAGCTGTAATTTTATTGGGGGGGGGACTAGGAAATTCTACTGGTTAAGTAGTGGAAAATCGAGAAATTTTTGCGATCGAGGAGCAACACGCTTTTTTCTGGGAACGGGGGTGTATACCAGAAACGAAGCAATAACACAGTTAACTAGCATGTAACTAAATAAAATATTATACATTTTTTTAAAATTACAAATTTACATTTATTAATCAATTCAAGAAATGCATACAAAAGCATATGTGTCAAGATTACTGTTTAATTTGACAGTACTTTTATGTATGCTGTACATAAAACGGCTTTTCTTCGCTAAGAAGTTCGTTTTTCAAAAGGTACCCTTTTTTCATCGAAATCGTCGGCACTGATACGAAATGAAGGGCGATTTATACTATACCTCAGTTTTCTGGCCTGTAAGACGAATAGTGATTTATCAGGTTAAAAACTTGAGAAAAATTCTTAGACAGAAAAGGATTAAGTACCTATTTTAATGATAATACAACGAAAACGGAACTGTTGCATTAAAAAATAATCAAATACATCAGCGTTTCTTAGAATTCCAGAAATTCGTCATTACTGTTGCTAAAATCATAGTTATTTTCACTTAGGTTGTCACTGTAACTAGATTTGCCACTTTCCTAAAACACAATGTCATCCTTATTTCCACCTATTGCACTACTAATTCCACACTTAAAAAGTCTTTAAAAAAAAAGATTTATTGTAGGATAAAATTAGATAATAGGATAAATGTATTTTTCAGTATTAACTTCATTCTGAAGAATTTTCTGCAGTCTAGTTTGCGTTATTTTATTCATAAGTCTCAAATTAAAAACAATTTAATGTTTATATTAAATTGTTATTAATTAAATTGTTTATATTATGGTTATTTTAGAAAATTAACCAAAAAGCAGCGACCACAATGTAATTGAAAAACAGTCCTTAGACGTGAAAAGGTTGAAGGCCATTTGGGTTAAGACTTATCTTCTCAGATACTGAGCTACTTCGCATATATGGAACATAGCATTCGAAATGAAAAATTCAATATTTACTACAAAATCATTGATGTAGCAAATATGTGTCTTTCTACTCCTACTTTAAAAAAAGATGTTATTTGCCTTACAGTTTATAGTTCAATAATACATTTTCATTGTACAAAATTGCATTCATTCAAAGAATTCAATTTGTATTTTCCTCTGTATAAAAACTGAATGTAGAGAAGTTAGATGTTTAAACGACCTCCACATTTTCTCAAGACCACGAGCAAGATTATTCCCTCCTTTTCAGCACCCCCCGTGAAAAAAGGGGTTCTATATTTACGACCTGACCGCATATAGGGTGATTTCGTGTGGGAGACGTCTGTGAGGGGTAGGGGACCCTCTTCCGAACACATATCTCTCCTCCTTTTTAATCAAATATTCCAAGTAAAAGACGCTTATCTTCTACTGCGTTCATCACCCTAATAGTAATTCTTTGATAAAATTGGATTGAGCTCCACCAAGACTGCAATCAGAGATACGTTTCAAGTTTCGTGCTGTGTTGAATTTCTTCATTTGCTTGCTAATTACTTTATATTTTCTGAAAAACGATAGTAAATATTTTTTAAAATTTATATTCCATATGCTAGGATATAAGTGAAGCAACTATTTTATTATGTTTAAAACTTATGCATTATCTCAAAATATTTTTATATATATATTTTTAGAGAGATACATGCCTCCTTCTTTGTTTTTAAATTTGATATTCAAAACAAGCATGTTAGATTTATTTTTTTTCTTTTGATTTATTGGCAAGCATTATCAAAATAACATTACAATTGCCTTAAGCGGTTATATAAAGTGCATTCTGTATCTTTCTTACCGTATCCCCACAAGTATTCGCATTGGCTATCTGGAGTAGGGCAGTCACCATGGTAACAGAAACCTTCTCCATTGTTGCAAGGGCTGGCATTCTTCCTATATAAATCAGTGGGGCACTAGAAAAAAAATATTATTTCTGGTTATTAAAAATTATTAAAAACCAAATATTTGAATCATCACATATTTTAAAGCTAAAATGTACGACTATTTAATTTCTATAGAGCACCTTTAAACTTTCATACATGTGAAACTGTATCACAGCGGATGTCGTAGTCTTCAAAACATGCGGTTGTTAAACATCCGTACACTGTTCCCGGATGGCAATTCCATTTCCGGAAACAAGTCTGGAGCTCATTTTCCGGAATTATTTATAAACCTATCTTGTGTTCATCTCGTGTACTTATAAATATCAATATATTGGAAAAATCACTGGTGCGCTATTTTTAATTCAAAAAATGATAAAAGGCTCAGAGATTTAAGTAGGATGGCCAAACTGTGTAATTGGGTTTTCAGCCAGAACTTCTCTCTCAAGATGCTCACTGAGATTTAAGAAGCATACACTTTGCGGAAATATTTTCATGTCCAATTTTCAGTTAAAATTAATCAATTTCTCGACTAAGCTGTAAGTCGCTTTTTATTGGACCGAATCAAATCTCTCGCTCTGTCAACATTAACATGCGTCATTGCTATTTATAGTTGCCCATTTCTAGTATGAAGATTTAAAGAGCCAGAATATCCACACGACTGGCCTTTATTTCAATTTCTTCTGTTACTCAAATAAATTTCAAGGTCTTATGGTATTTTCATCATACCCCACTTCCAACAGATATAAAATCGAAATCACATGAAAAATTCACTGCAAAATTCACTTCACTGTAAAATCACATGAGTGTTCGTGTAAAGTTTCCAACACGAACACTCATGTGATTTCATTTAAATTATGTCACGGATGACATTCCGTTGCAATACCGGAAAGTAAATTACCGAATTTTATAAATTATTTATACCAAAGGGCGATTTGATTATTTAAACCAAAAGTTAATATAATTTATTTGTACGAAAATCAACTCATTTAGGATGTTAATAAAATGAACAACAGAAAACATCTTAATTTAAAGGAATTCCTTGCATTTTCCGTCACCTAGTTTCAAAACATTTTCATTCAACTTAAAGAGATTATTTTAATAAATTAATGGTATTCTTTTTTATATTAATCCTCCAGCCGGCAGAATGCTTCGCTAAGAATCCTCAAATTTCCCAAAACTTCCATGAGAAAATGGTATTTTTTTATTTTAATGCAAAAATTCTGCTGCTGTTTATACCTGGATTTATGTTTATACCTGGACATATTGCTTTCATATTGAACATATTCAAAAATGCACGTACATTGCTTTCTTAAAATCGTCACAAAAGTATTACAGGCTGCACATATACGGCCTTACTGGCCAAATGATTTTATTTTCCCGATGCAGAAGATATTTTCATATATATATGGGGGGGGGTTAATATAAGAACGCAAAAAAAAAAAAAAAAAAAAAAAAAAAAAAAAAGACTTTAACTCTTTCAAAACCGAAGCTTTCCCCAACGTACATATTAAAATACCGAACCGCCCAAAATAGTCTTCCAGAGTCACAGCAAATTCATCCCCTCCTCATCCATTAGCGCACTAATAAGAGTGATGATTTCAAATGACATCCTTCCTATTTCTAAAAAATAAAGACAAGGAATTATAAATAAATCCTTTTAGGACAAGCTCTCTGCAAAAACTGATACAATGCATTCGAGGAAACTGCACCTGCTGTTGTATACCTTAGGGGAGGGAAGAAAACAATATCGGAATTTCGGCCGTTTCGGGCGTTTGTGATCATTTGAATGAAAGGCCGTCTGGGGCGTTGTGGTCTTCAAAGAGTTAAAAAAGACTTGCAAAACAGCAAAATAGTGTCGTTTTAGAATAAGGAATAAATAAATAAATAAATTTAGAATAAGGAATAAAGTTAAAAGAATTGAAATATGTCTTTTTAGAACATGTTCATTCTTCACCATAAATGTTAGGTATAATTTCTTATAACTTTCAATATTAATATACAGTAAATGTAAAACTTTATAAGAGAAAACAGATTCAGAAGCTATATTTTGAAGTAAATACCATGTAAATTTATACAACTCGGTGTAGTAAACAGACTGCAGTTTGAAATTTCAGATGATAAACAAGAATTGTATTTAAGATGTAAACGAAATGTATGAACTTTCATGGGCATTTAAATGATAAAAATTTGCACATTATAAACATTCGTTTCTTCTTTTATGAAGTAATCTAATAAAAAAAATGGAGCAAAATTCTAAAGATAAGATAAAATAGTTTGCTTACTATGCTTATAAAAGAAAGTAGATTTATTTATCAAAAACATATCAAAGTCTGCATTAAGATTTAAAATAAAATACTGAAGCATATGTGTAGCGCATAAATTTTGTTTAGTTTGAGTATGCTTCTTTTCAATTACATTCTCAAAGCATAACTAATACTAACTCACCTGTCCAGATCTTCCGTCGCAAAACTCAGGTATATCACATTCTGTCAAAGCAGGACGGCACAAATGGCCAGATGGCCGCAACTGTAATTAAAAAAAAAATCTGATGTGTACACCACATGACTTCTTTGTACGGAATATTAAATTATACGGATTTTTTCTTGCATTTTATTTAAACTTATTAGATTGAATTAAACCTACTTCGCCGACAGCGCATAAACCACAATAGGATAAATGCATTCTTTAAAATTCACTTTGTTTACCATAGTGACACTCTGGCGCTAGGTTTACTTAACAGTATTATATTTCATTCATATTATAACTCAGAACGCACAAAATGTATATCATTTAAAGAATTATCTAATCGTTGCCACATGTTCTATTCAAATACTATAATAAAGCTAGAACTATGTATAAAAGAAATTAAGCAAACAAAACAAAACAGAAACAGTTTTTCACAGACGATTGAGTATTTCTCATTTAATTAATTCAGTTCTCACTTCGCTAGAAGGCAAATACATAAAAACTCAAAATATCTACATTAAAAATTACGAAGTAAGTTTCAAACGCTATTTCCTCGAAAAAATTCCAGAAAGAATTAAGCATGATTTAATTGGCAATAATAAATGAATGCGTTATCTTTGTTGTTGCGAAGCTAAATTTACCTAGATTGGCAACACATCCACTAGTCTCCTGTTTCAAATGTAAACATCAATGGCCGCCATTAAAAACAGGCTTAGCGACAATTAAACAACTTTAAAATTGCTGATAATTCTAAAAATATTGCACACAGATTTACTAAAGGCATAAAATCCTTTACCGAAAGATAAAAACAACATAATTCAATCATTTTTAAAGCAAAAAATGTACAATTTACAAACATATAAGAGTAAAGAAACTGAGATCACTGAGCCGGGTAATAGAGTGGATATATATATAAATATATTTATATACGTTTGGTGCGGCCGATTGCAACCAAAATACGAGGTGCACATCTACATGTTATAGCAGGCCTATATACAAAATTTCAACGTTCTTGAGGCTACTCGTTTTTGAGTTATGCGAGATACATACGTACGTTCGTACAGACGCCACGAAAAATTCTCTTCAGAATTAATTTTAAAGCAGTTTTATAATTTTTTTTGAAGGAAAAGAGTATTTTATTCTGTCCTTACGTACAGATATGACGCAAAAACATCGTTAAATTGCATTCGATAGCTGTCAAAATGGATATTTTCGTTGAAATATGCTGCCTGAAACTTTTCGCGATTACAATACTTCCTTTTTACTTCGTACAAGGAAGTAACAAGTACAAGGCATTCATAAGTAAAACGCAGAATAATATTAGATTCTTGATACCAGAAGTAAAAGTGGATGGCATACAACAACAGTGTAGAACCATTAGATCTTGAGCTGAATATTTAACTAAAATTATGAGTTGTGTGGTATATCGAGAACTATCGATGTGGTATATCATAATCGGACTTTAAGCTGGCACCGCGCCAAGCATCGAAACGCGCGCGGTAATAAGAAAAGGTGTGATGTGGTGTGGTGTATTTAATTATGGCAAAGCACACGAGGGCTATCTGCCTAAGGGGAGGGATGCCTTCGTGGAGGACTTTCTAAGGGAAACTGGCTCGTATACACGTTACAGATGGGGAAAACCACGAAAACGCCCATGCAGCCAGCCCGTTCGCGGGATTCGAACCTCGGACCGAACTACCAGTGTTCAGCGACTTTACCGCTCGGCCGCTGGCGGGCAATAAGAAAAGGACTGGAATGCGAGTAGCTGTAGATACATAAGTGTGTATGCGAATTGTATACATATATAATAAACGTATCGCTGCTGGAACATGTAGTTTAAAAGAATGTATGTTGTGAAATAATTACCCACTAAAGGAGTGTTGGAATACCAAAATCTTCAAAAAATTGTGGTTTCGGATTTTTGCATTTTCAAATTCTCTACACTTTTAGCTTTCTAAAAATACCATTCTTTAATCTCTATGAAAATTAGAACTGTAAAAAAAAATCTATTTTTAATTTGTCATTTACTGCTTTGATCAATGCTTTGATCAATCAATTACATAAAAATGCGTTTTTCTCCAAACGTGATTTTTTTTATACTCGATGTACCTTTTCTCAGGAACTACTGCTTACAGGTATCTAAACCTTTTATGGCTTATTTATTAGTTTCCCTAATATTTATTGAAATGAGCCTTTTGTAATAAACTTAGAAAAAAAAAACTTTTTTAAAATTTTTTTGTGTGAGAAAAGTGCTAAATTTTACTATGCCTAACAAAATATTTTGTAATTTACTCTGAAATTCAAAATGCTTCAAAAGCTCATTTCAATATAATCAGATAGGTATACTTTAATTACAGAAAAAATTTCAAGCTTGTATCTACAGCAGATTTTGAGAAAAGGTACATCGAAAATGGCCAGTTTAACATTGTCGGTATAGGGGTTTCTGATACCCTTAAAGGATACACGACAAGTTGAACAAGGGACTTAAAATTCTGAATTGTATTATACAAAAGTACATAGAAAGAACGTTGATAATAACATTCCATCAATAACTTTGGATTGATTCTTCTGTAGGCTAATTATAAATTTTGAAATGCCATTTATTTATTTTATTTACTGTGTCCTTGCGGAGAACTGAGTCCAGCTCCTCAGGCAGTTGGACTTAGTAACCGCATACCAGTATATGTACGCTTAATTTCAAGAGAATAACAGCATACAAGTATATGTACGCTTAATTTCAACAGCACATGCAATAACGTTTTCGTTTTCTTTCGCTTAGTATTTTACGAATGGAATCAGGAATCTATATCGGATCATACTGAACTTCTGTGCAGGTAAGTCGATATTTTATCGAGAAATTTATTATGCATGTGATGAAAGATATGCAAACATTTTTACAGATTTTGAAAGATGTATCTCATTCATTCAGCATTTATACGAACATATTCACCCAGAACAAGTTAATAGGCCTTCATTTTTCTCGAAGTATAAAATGGACATTCACACGTTCATTTAATATATATGCTGGTAAATAAAATGCAAAATGCACACATGCCCGCCCTTAACATCTTCAATAACTACACCAGACTTCAGAAAATACTTTTGTAGTAACAACATAAAACAACGAAAGCCCATGTGTCACACATACAAGCACACCTTAACTTGTCAACCAATAAATCTTATGCAAATTAATGGCAAAAGGAATTATAAAAATTAGGAACAATTTAAATATGCTTTCTCGAAACCACAACTAATTTACAGCTTATAGTTTAAGTGTACTAATTCTTTATTAATATACTTGAACTGTAAGTTGTAAATTAACGTATAAACCACGGTTACAGCCGAAAACATCGCGGACGAAAACGTCGCGGAGAAAACAACGCAAGGCGAAAACGTCGTGCTACAAAACATCGTGGGAGAAAACATCGCAAAGAGAAAACATCGCAGTTCTAAAACATCGTGGTAAAAACATCGTCGTCGAAAATAAAGCGGTTCAAAAACATCGCAGTTTAAAAACATCGTCGTAAAAATACCGTGGTAAAAAATAAAGTATCTACAAATCATCGCAGACATGCTTTTTTCAGGCATGCTTTAATAAGTGTAAATGGATGTTCCCATAATGATTTGTGAGCGCAAGATGGAAAAAGAAGGATAATTTTTACTTTCATCATATTTTTTATTAATTAATAAATTTTTGCTGAGAAAATAAAAAGGAAACTTAAGCATAGAAAATTAATGCAACTTATAGCACTTAATAGAATTTTAAACCGACATAGTTAACTAACAAAGGCCATTAATAAATCATTTTTTATAAAGTTTTTACTGGTAATTTTTCATGAAAAGTATAATCTATAAGTTGCATTTAATTTTCTATGCTTAAGTTTCCTTCTTACTTTTTCAGCAAAAATTTATTAGTTAATAAAAAAAGTGTGAAAGTAAAAATAATCCTTCTTTACATCTTGCGCTCACAAATCATTATGGGAATATCCAATTACAATTATTAAAACCTGAAAAAAGTATGTCTGCGATGTTATCGTCATGCGATGATTTGTAGATACTTTATTTTTTACCACGATATTTTCGACGACGATGTTTTTAAACTGCGAAGTTTTGAACCGCTTTATTTTTGACGACGATATTTTGTACCGCGATGTTGTCTCTTTGCGATGTTTTCACCCACGATGTTTTGCAGCACGACGTTTTCGCCTTGCGTTGTTTTCTCCGCGACGTTTTCGTCCACGATGTTTTTGCCGCGATGTTATCGGCGGACACCATAAACCACTTGCTCAAATGTACTTTTGTTAGGAATTAAGTGCAGTGTCTCATAACTACAAACATCTAAAGTAAACCCCTTATGAAAGTCATACAAATGCTACCGTACATCGTATTCTTTAATGCGATGGCCGCTGCTGAAGAAGACAAAGTCGTTTGGGGATCTTGGGCAATAATGCTATTATGAAATTTTTGTTTGATTTCATATTTACGTAATCTGCCCTTGGAAAATATAAGAAAGCGACTCACCTTGCAGTTCTCACAGCAAGGTCCGGCAGAGCATTCTGCTTCTACACGAAGTTTGCACGTGATTGGATCACAGCAAGGGTCACTTTGAAGGCATTCCTGTAAAAAGCCATTTTTTTTATTTAATATGCACTTGAAAGCTGATTCGTAATAAAAATGTTAGTCTTTAGGGAAAAGTGATGCTTAAAACTTTAGTTAATTAATTATTAATTAGATTTAGGTTAAAATGAAAAGCCGAAAAATAGATTAATTTTTCTTGTTTTATCAATAGATGGCTCCAGTAGCTTAACTCCTGTCCAGCCGTTCTTATCTTATCCCCATATCTTATCTCGTTCATTTGCAGTTTGGCAGCTGAGGCTGATGGTTCGGTAAAACATTCGAAACTGGTCCTGTCAAATTTGCAAATATAACTCGGAATTTTGTTGTTCAACTTCTAAATTATTAATTAGATATCAATTATCAGGATCTAAAATTAATAAATGGAAGATTTTTACATGTCGCATTTTGTTTTCAATCGTGTATAATTAATTAATAATTTGAAATTTTTTCATATTTAAATGATTTTAATATAGTTATGCATTTTACCATTTCATTGTTTCTATAATTTGACCTTTGTTTTTCATAATGCACATTTTACTCAAAATTAATCTATCTCTCAGCATATATTTGTTTCTAATCAATTTACATTTTTATATCTTATCTGATTTATTATTACTATTCTGATTTATTATTACATTTGTATATCTTAACTGAAGATACTGTAGTCTCAAAAATCACTCAATGATAAATGATTAATTATTTCGTAATTTTAATGACAGGTGCCAGTAAATAATATTACATATAATGTAAGTAGTAATTTAATAAAATTATGTAAACTAAAAATGCAAAAGTTATGCACAACCTACAATTAAATCAACCTGTAAAACAAGAAAGAAGAACAGGAAATCATTGCCATTTCTATTAGCAATGCCACTTTTTATCATCACATTACTGTGAACCATTAAATGCACTCTCTGTTAAATGAAGCTTAGTGTAATAACGCTAGAAGGTTTAACAAACTGAATTGAGGCGTGGAAAAATATAATAACAGTAAGGAAAATTACTGCAGATAATAAGAGAGAGCTGAAATATTAGGTAATAAAATATCAGCGATTCCTATTTACTCTACTTAAAAAAAAACTTAAAATTGAAGACTGTATTTTCATTGAGGTAAATATGAGTATTCGTATCTTACACATTGTTTTCATCTATTATAACAAGTTAGCATATCATACAGAATCGCAGCTAAACTAAGCAGCTTCAATCAAATTATGCAAAATGATAAGAAAACTTATCATTTTGCATAATTTGATTGAAGCAGCTGTTCGCAAATTACGATCCTAAAGCATTTACCTTTAGATAGTTTAACATGGGTTACTCAAGATTATGCTATAGCAGAGAAATTCTACTGTCTGATCAAAATTTTTATGTTAAAAAAAGATAAAAAATACAATAATAGTACCTAAACGTATTATGATAAGTTAAGCGAGATTGAGTGTACTTACTTCAATGCTTCCACAGTCGCACTGCTCGCCATCTTCTATCACGCCATTTCCACACGTTCGGAAATCTTCTAACTGTGAAAAGAAAGTTAACAGTTGTAATTGCATTAATGACAACAAATGTTTTGAAATCTGTTGAATAAAAGATGAAACAGGAGTCGAATAAATGGTAAAACTTGGTATACATTCAACTTCATGTTTTCTAAAAGCATATATCCATTTGATGTTTGAGAAGCTATTTAAATATTATTTTTTACGAAATTTGTAGCATCAAAAGAACTAGTAGAACTTTATTGCTCAATTCTGATATAGAGGCTAAAAATAATATTTTGTCATTGATTTTTGAAAATTAATTCAAAATTATTTTTGCCTGTATGAACAGCAGTTCTTTTATTAACGAAAGTTAGCTTCATGTAATTTTCCTTCTAGTAAAATTGGAAGCTGAAGGCAACTGAAACAGTTTTCACTTTTACGTAAAAAAGGCTAAAAAGAAAAATATCTGAGGTGTAACAGCTTTAAATAATATTAAAATCTTGTAGATTAAATAATTTAAATAGATGAACATTAAGGTATTTGTGAATGGCAATATTTGAAACCAGACTCGAGTGCCTCGTGCGACTCTCGCACGAAGAATGTAATTTATTTTTAAAATGATAGAATATGTTTTCTCTTCTTGTTTGTATGTCGTCATTTTTTTGAGTGTTAAATAAAAGTTATTGCTGTGTTCCATCATTGGAGTTGCTTCATTTCGCCAAAGAAGTATCACAGAGGGTTCTCTTTATGCAAAGATTTCGGAAAAGTATGACTACATTATACAATTGGGAAGAATCATGCAAGTTTAGGATGGGTTTTCAGGATGTTTACTTTTCTATTGCACTATAGGAAACGAAAATGTATCATTAAATGACGTCATGCGTTTTGGACGGTCTGCAGAGCCAGAGTTTGCTACTTGAGCCAACATACTATCCTACGTCTCAGCCAGAGTAAGACTTCAGATGTATGTCTCTAAGGAGGCAGGAAAAAAATTGTAGATGCAGTGATCTGACAAAGAGAAACGTCAATGGAATATTAATCCATAATCTTTGTCATCTTAGTTCTACATCCTAGTTTCATATATCTTACACTACACAATCTCTGATTAAAGTATTGTCCCCCACTAACAGCTTTTCTATGCCATCCAGCATGGCTCGAATTTGCGAATTTTAGAAGATGAAATGACACTGCACCCGCACTTTTTTCATATTGTAAAGGCCATATTTATCATGTTATTTTACTTATTATTGATTTTTGATATGTTTTAAGGGCATTAGTATCGGAAAATTGGAAAAACGTTCAGAATTTTTTTCTGCCATAAAAATTAGAGAAATGCTCTCGCTTTATATGAGCATAGGGTGATGCATATTCTATGTACTAATTTAAGTTGGAAACCCTGGCAAAGTGTATGTGTGCATGTGGACATACGAACATCTGTGGCGAACTAGAAATCCGACAATCTTACAAAAGATCACTGGCCGATGCTCCCAGCTGTGACAACGTTTATATATTTATTGTTCTGTCACAAACACTTAATCAGTATTGTGACGAAGCAGAGAAGACTGGCAGAAGTGTAGGAAAGACAGGTGAAGAATACAGTTTGGTCCCTACAGAACAGCGCCAGTATGGTTGTATTTCGATATTATTCCTCAGGAATGTTGAGTCACATCATGGAATGTTCACACTCATATAAAATAACTATGCCGTCTGTATAACACTAGTAGACAGAATACTCGCCAGCGTCATATATCAAACTATTATATATGTGATAAAAACAAACTTAGAAGTAATGACTAGCAGAAAGTTTGATGGCGTAGAAATGCGGAGAATAAACACCAGGGTGCCTGAGTTACCAGAACCATACCTCTTGTAGAACGGTTAGATAGTTGCAAATTATGCCAAAAAAATAACTAGAGCATAAATCGAACAAGTGAATATAGATTTTCTTGCATCTCTCTTCCTTTTTGAACAAGTGAGTGCAACTTGCAATAATGATGAATCGTACCAATGATCGTTAAACAATGAAAATGGCCTGCTAAGATGGTGAAAAGAATTTTGGAAAATGGAATAGCCCTTAATAGTCCTTAAGTTTCATCTTCCGCAAACTTCACGAGCATCATCGCTGCTCTAAACCCCTCTGTTAGGTTTTCGGTGGTAGACTGACTCTGCTGCACGAATTTTCGCAATGTGTTCATCCTGCTTCGTAGAAAGCTATTAACACTGCTGCATAACACTTCGTAGAAAGCTGTTAACTATCTCTCAGCCAACTGACTGCTTCTCCAAGATCATCTCGGGGAGGTTGGATGAATTCCTTAGATTTCTCATTGCAGGGAGGTGCTATTTTCCTTCTCGGTGCTGCTGGGACTTTACTTGGAAATATGGGAAAGTCATCATCAGTATTTATGAATTCCTTGGGCTTAGTGGTGGGCTTCTTCTCAAATTTCTTTCTGTAATATCTACAACCACGATAAATGCTGACATGGTTTTCTTGACAGTAAATGCAGGTGGGTTCTACATCTTGTCTGAAGGGACATGCTTTACTCCTGTGAGAATTGTCACACTTGCAACATCGCTCTGGGTTAGTGCACAGGTGCTGAGAGTGACCCCACTCCTGACACCTGTAGCTCAGAATCCCATACGTAGAAGTGTTGATCCGTAACGAATAGGAAATTGGACTCGAAAGCAGATTAAATCTTCATTTTTTATTTCAGCAAACATGTTGCGGCCACAAACAAGTTGGCCCAATAATTGCGCCTATTCCAAAAAAATTTACATTTTAGATAAATTTGCAGTAAGCTAGGAGTAGACAGACAGTAGTTCAGTTACGCCAAAGCGTAGAAAGCAAGTGTGTAATGTTCAGGGTGAAATCTTGATTCAGAATGAGTTAGTTTTGGTTTTCAATGCATTTTGATTGGATAGTTAATACTGCTATAAAATTATTATTGGCTGTTCGAGTTTTAGTTCCATTTATATCACCAGAATTGTGTAAGTGTCATATGACGAGGATTAATCTAGAAATGGCGCAGTGCAGAACTGAGAAGGGAAATTTATGTTGCTAATTTAATCTTTCACAATATAATTTTTTACAATAGAAGAGACCGAAATAAGCATAACTGTAATGCATGTTGTGCGCCCAAATGCCGCTTTGAGGTGGTACGAAGTGCTAGTGGAAGAAGAATGCACTCTGTTGGCTTGAACTCACACTGCGCGTGGGATTTTGAGTGGCATGCATCGTTACCTGAAAGCAGAGCTGGCCGATATGCATTTTATCTGTAGGTTTACCGACGAAAATGGAGCAACTGCGCAAAGAAAGTACATAGGAATCGTTCATTTTTTTAATAAGTGTTCTTTTTAGTCACAGCCCCATAGCTAAAACGCATGTCGGCATGCTTCGCTTTTGTGTAGCGATCCATACCGCTTGAAACCGCATATGGAATGAGAATTTACGCCAGCCAACAGCTTTTAACTTCCGCTCAGCGGCAATCTGTACTACCTCAACGCTCCATTTGGGCACGCGCATTCTATTAGAAAATTTGTTAGAAAAATTTGATCTCTTATATCTGCCTTAAAATGTTTTGTTAGGTATTTTCTGAGCACCCTGTATGTACACTGAACACCATGTACATGTGCGTACACGTATGTAAAGTTTTCAAGCAAAATACTTTCTGTTTGAAGAGGAGCGACATATGTAAGATTCTGCTGAAATAAATAAAGATTTTTTTTCTTATTAATGCCAATTTAAGAATTTAGCCTAAATCTAGTACTTTTATTTAACTTTTTTATTTAAGTTTTTTTATTAAATATCACAAACCTTTTTTCCTTACGTTATAACTTACTTGGTTAGGTTTATTAAACAGGCAGATTCCATGTCCTACTCGCAGTGCCCTAATATAATCCTGAAGGCTACACGTAGAAAAATGATATGGCTGGATCTTACTTTCACCTCTGAAAAATAAATAAGTAAATTAAGGTTTGTTGACGTTAAACGTACAGAAGAGAATATTTGACACGCGTTTTGACATTTCTGTTCCACTAAAAGAAATATTGCTACGTACAAACTTTTAATAATCGGTAAACTGGCGTTTAATTGAAGTTGTCATGTATACTTAGGTTCACTTAACAAAGAATATTACACCAATTAAGCCATACAGATATTAGAATTAGAATATTTACATTAAATTTGAAAAAAATGGTGAAATGCTTATTTAATCAATTTTGACTTTAGTAGTAGTACTATTGCTAAATAAAATCTGTATGCTTGCCAAATGAATCTTCAACAAGCCGTAAGTAGTCGAAAATATATCAGAATTAATCATTTTTAGGGCCTATTGGGTCAGACTATATATAATTAGATAACAAAGTCTTCAGATGTACTGTGTATTGAAATACGTAGTTATAGGCTTTATTTCCTTTATTATTAGTGTATTAACATGTCTATACCTAGCTAAAGTGGCTCCTAAAAGCTAAAAGTGTTCGTACACTTTAAGAATTTCTTAAAAAAAAAAAAAAAAAAAAAAAAAACGCTGGAGCTCTGAAATAAATTCCAGTACAGAAAAGAGATTGTACACCGAAATATTTTCGTAAAATTTCATGAATAAAATTATAGTTTGCTAATTTTTTTCATTTTGATGATGTTTAAAAATTCGTTTGGCTTTATTATTCACTTGCTTACTTCATTATAATTTATCTAATACTTAAAAACGGGTCATAGTCGTAAGCAAACAACAAATATCATTCAAAATTAAATTGATCATGTTCCTTACAAGGGCAGAAAACCGATCCGGGATATCACTATATTAGTGAATTTTACACATTCTACTGTGCATTATGTGATAAAACCCTTTAAGGAAGAAAATCAGATCGGAAATAAATCATGAAAAGGTCGTCGAGCAGAGTTAATTCAACGTAATCTGAGATTTATAGTTAGAAAATTGGGAAAAGTCCACGAGTGATGTAAAATGAGTGCTGTAAAGATCTCCACAGAATTTACTGAAAACATTTCTTCTTCAATGTTGCCTGAAACTGTTTGACGAGTATCAGATCAGCTGGATTACTTGGGTTCTCTGCTCAAAGAAAAGTTTTGTTAAGTGCAAAAAAATAGAAAGCTCATTCTTTCCTTCGCAAAATCAATGGCAAATAAACCTAAAACGTATTGAAACCATGTCTGATTTGCAGATGAAAGCAAATTTAACATTTTTGGTTCCAATAGGCACTTAATTTTACGGAGAAGAAAAAATGAGGAACTTAATCCCAAGACCTTGGTTGGAACAGTAAAGCATGGTAATGGCTGTGTCTTTGTGTGGGGGTGCATGTCAACATCAGGATTAGGTAATTTAGTACTTATTGATGCCATAATGAACCATGCTCTTTACTTAAATATTTTAAAAGATAATTTAAAATTATCCTCCAAAATCTGGGTGTTGGAAACTACTTTTTATCAGGATAACGATCCTATGAAAACAGTCGTTAATATTCGCCTTTGTTATGTCTATAATTATCTACAAGTTTTGAAAACACCACCTCAGTCATTAGATTAAAACCCGATAGAACGCATTTTGAGAGAAATGGAAGATTGATGCAGATATCACGAAAAAACTAATAAACTCTATATCCAGCCATTTGAAAGCTGTCATAAATGCTGCAGGATATCCTACAATATACGAACTAACAGAAATACTACAATACTCATAAGTGGAGATTTCTTTAATGTGTACGAAGACTTTTGTGAGGAAAATTTCTGTTACTTTTCTATTACTCATTTTCTAAAAAAAAAGTTTTACTATGTTCACAAAATAATTAACGTATTTTTGTTAAAGTTAATTTATAGATGTTATTCAAAAATTTTTATTCTCAAACCTTAATTTTTATTAATGAATAAAGGAATATTTCACTGAAACTAGTAAGTGTACGAACACGTTTGGGAGCCACTGTATGTGTACTAAATATTCCTTTAAATTACAAAGTTCCTCAAAATAAATATAAGAATTTTATGAGCAGGATTCTGTATACTCATAGTAAAAAATTTCAACTAGAAAAATCTTCATGTCATTTAGTTAACTGAAATTAAAATTTTTCGTATTTTTACGTAAAAATTTTACAAAGGTGTGCTTAACAAATATTTTCAAGAGATTAGTTACAAATTTAGTATCGAATGTTTCCTATCGCATAATATATTTGATATAAGTCCATTGACCACCGAAATGAGCAATTTTTATTTTATAGTTTGTAAAGACATTAGGTTAATTGGAAGCAGGAGATTTGAAAAATAAGCAACACCTTCGCCAGGAATCGAACCACGGACCACTGAAATACGCGCTCAGCGTGCAGACCACTACACCATGAAGGTACGCTAAGAAGGCGGGAAAATACCTTATATACTCCCCCCTTGGGACGACTGGGGATTAGGGAACCCAATCGCCAAATCCTGGTGGGTAGAATCATCATCCACCACCCTTTTAATTCGGGCGCCACTGTAGAGACATTAGTTTAATTGGAAGCAAAAGTGATGAAAAATGAGCAACTCCTTCGCCGGGAATCGAACCACGGACCTCTGAAATACGCGCCCAGCATGCAGACCACCACACCGGAGAAATAGTTCTTCAAACGTATTCTCAGACGCACTGAATGAAATCGGCAATAGACAAAGAAAAGTGATTTAAGTCTGAAAATTCATTCTGGATATCTCAATGAATTTTACACGTAATTTCAGGGATTTTTTTAAAAAACTTTCAACTTCATAAAGCATAATGGATATTTTATTAACTTGAGTTTAAATCTGCAGGAAAAATGAAAGATATTATTTTCAAAGCGTAATGTTATTTCTGGTATTGGAATTATTTTCATAACGTTATGTACATTATTTTAGAAATATTTAGGAACAATAGATACACAATAGAACAATACACAGCCTGTGTATGCCGTTTACGAATAAGTTTATATTTATGAAATTCTACCCTTTCAACATAATTTTCAGTATCTACCAGTTTAGTAGATGTTTAATGTAATTATTATCCAACGCAGTTTCCATTTTACAGTTCAGTCAATTTTTGACATCAGTTGACTCTGATTTAGCCTTCCGGAATTTGGTTAGTGCAGTTTAATTTCACGGTTGGAGAATTAATCAGCCGTACATTCCTTTATCGCAACTGCAACTGCAACATGAATTATTACAAAGAGTGGTTCGATTCTCAAAATAGACACGGACTTTAATGCTTTACACGAACTTTGATGCTGAATTTCATGAAATATTGCTCTACTAATGCAGGCAAAGGTTATTCTCTCTCTCTGCATCGCGCATTGCCAGTTTCCTGAGGGATGAAACAAGAATAATACTCTGGTCTTGTGGGTTAACTGCCACCTGCGGCGACAGGCCTACCCTTATAGTCATGCAACACTCTAGAACGCCCCTTAACCGTCAATCGATAAAACGATTCGCTTGCCATTTTATCGAACTGCCGCTTAGAATAATTTACAAAGGTAAAGTTCACTCGAAATTCTCCTGGTCATTGTTAAATGTTCCAGTGTAAAATGTTGTAAGATTCTCAAACTTTGTATTGGTTTTCAATACTAACGCACTTTTCATTTTTGGATTGTTTTCATATAATAGTTTGTAATTTAAAAATATATAAGCATTCAAAAAACTATTTCATGCACTAAATAGCATTGAGCTGACTTAATGTTTAATTTATTATTACGTCACATTCAGTTTCAACAGAACAATCTTCTGCTTCAAATTTATAGCACATAGTATTTTTAAATTTTAATGACACGAATATTTTCTTTCAGAATTAAAATTTCATATGTTAACTACTCTAACAGTAGTTTTAGAGCATTACATATACTCTTAATTCAGAAGCATACTGAAAATACTTTACCTCTTAATATCAATGTAAAAATGCAATAATAATTACAGTAAGAAGACTTCTTTCAGTATTTTTTAATATATTAAGAGGAATAAAAATGTTATCTTTGAAGGCTGTAAGGTCTAATAAGGCAATTTGTTTGCAGGATACTGCCACCGTGATCCCTCATAAGGATGCCTCTAATCAACACGTAAGAGTGCCAGTATATTTGATACAACAAGTTGATTATTGTACGACAAGACAGAATCTTTGGCATAAAAGTACTCTGGCATAAAACTTCCGTCATTTTTGTGCAAGTTTCTTTTTTCCTGATAAAAATTTAATACTTTTGATAGTGAGAGCAACTTTATGCTGGCCCAATTTATGTAACGTTTCTGTCTTAGCAAACAGTTGAGAACTTGCATAAAAGTACTATCATATTTGTGATGGCATACCTTTATGCGGTGGTCCTAGTTTAGGCAGTTGGATCATTGATGGATCAAGTTTAAGATGACAAGATGCCTTCTTGGTAGAAGTTGAGCTGCTTGCATATTATCCCGTCAATCATGAAACTGTCGCCAAGCAGTCCGATTTAGGGCCAGTTATAGATAAGTGTGACGTAGGAACATACTCATAACATATGGACTTTTGTTTGCTATAAATCTGATTGATTCTTGATAAGCTAACTTTTGTTTTTATGAACATAGATTTAAATAAATTTTTGTTGCAGCTTTTTTCTTTCATTTTGAAAAAACAAATAAGGTTACGGTCTGTTTTCTAGAGAATTGCAAGCACGCACCTGTGAATTATTTTCAAAGTTATGGGATCCTAACGTAGAAGAAAAAGGTGTTTATGCTGTACTTTTCTAAAAAAGGGTAAAGAATGATGATGCGACTTGAGAAATTGTGACAAAAAGATATCCTTTTCAATAAGAACGTGGTTTGAAAGCTTTAGAATAACATTTGTGACTGTGCTCTTGTTTACGTACAGTTGAGATAATTAACATCTGTTTAATGGGGGAAAGAACAGCTGGATATATCCGATGAAACAGAAACAGAGTGGAAAAATTATTTTCAGGGAGTTTATACTCATAACATTCTGAAGAGACTTTCTGGAAAAATCGGATGGCCCAACAAAGAGTAGAAATCAACGAAAGCCTTTTTAAGAACTGTAAAAGTGTATCAAATACTGATTGGTTAGTTATTAAATAGACATCAAATGGTGCAGAATATCACCAGAACAACAGGTGCAACTTCTCCGCCAACTTGCATAGTTCGATGGTAGCTCATATTTACTGTCGACGGGGTAACACATAAGGGCCGAAGTCTATTACTTGTATTTGCTGCATACGGAAGTCCATTTAGTACTTTCTTACGTCATTATCTGTCTATAGAGCTCTTCAGGGATGCTTATAGAAAATACAAAAAGTTAAAAAAAATTCTCCCAATAGTAAACCCTGTATTACAGAATCAGGAAAAGGCATCCAGATTGTTTAATCGCCAGGACATGCGATGCCAATCACAACGCTGAATCCTTTTTAAATTCCTACTATTAGCTCCCACTCTCCCTATATCTTGTACAAATTTTCAGTCGTTGATAAAATACTTTTTGTTTATCCACTCAAGTTCAAATACATTTTTTAAACTTTTAGTGGATGACACTTGATGTTAATACAATTTTTTCACATGTTGAAAATTTTTATTAAACTTTTTTTTATTAAAAATTTTAAAAAATTAATTATAAAAACAAATTAATAAAAGTAAAATTATTAAAAATTAAAAAATTTTTAATTAAATTTTTTTGTATTTAAAATTTTTTGTGTATTTTAAAAATTTTTCTTGCTGACCTAAGTAGGAATTGACATTAAATTTTTTTTATATTACTTGTTAGGAATTAGTTAACAATAGTCATTTCGCCTTAGTAGCATATCAAAGCTGAAAGACTAGAATTAAATGAACATCCAATTGGCCCGATAATAATTGTACACTGATCAGATTAAAATATACTAGGTATAAGTGATACTATCATATTATTAATTAATGGTTTCGTCATGATTCTCTACGCAAAGAGTACTTTATTAATCGCATAATTCGATCGAAGACTTCGCACTAGTTCATCATATGATATACACTCATGTCCATAAATTAAGGATAATTCGGAGTCACGCGGAAATCGAACTCTAAAATAAATATATCACCTGTAAGATCACTACACACATCTTCAAGAATCATATGCAAATTTCAGGAAGTAACCAGATGACACCGATGGTACGTCACAAAGACGAGAGTGTAAGAGAGTGATATATAAGGAATACAGGCAAAGAAGTAAAATTGTTCGCAGGCGCTTTATAAGCATTTCAGTGCAATAACCGAATAGTTATGACACAAAGGACGCATTTGGATGATTTTTTACGTGGTAGAATTATCGGCCGTCTGGAATGTGGGCGTACCCAACTGGAAGTATCAAACGAACTTGGAATTGCCCAGAGTGTCATCTCCAGGCTTTAGCAACCATTCCAAGATGATGGTATTGTGAGTAGACGTTACAGCACAGGTCGCCCCAGAGTTACAACGCGAAATGAGAACCGGTATTTGGTAGTTACTGCCAAAAGAAACAGGCGGAGCACAGCGTCAGACCTGTCTCATCAGCTCTCTTCAGCCACTGGTACAACAGACGCTTAGGGCAGATTGGTCTATATGCTCGTAGACTGTCAGATGCGTTCCACTTACTGCAACTCATTGTCGCCTGCGGTTAGCCTGGAGTAGAGAGCATGCATTGTGGACACCGCAACAGTGGGCTTGTGTGATGTTTTCCGACGAGTCCAAGTTTAGCTTGCAGTCTGATTCTCGCCGGACTTTCATACGGAGAGCTCCAGGTACCCGTTACCACCAAGAAAACATCATTGAACGACACCGTTACGGTGGTGCAGGAGTGCTCGTTTGGGGTGGAATTATTCTGGATTCTAGAACTGACCTGCATGTTCAAATTGGAACCATGACAAGCCAAATCTATCGGGACGTCATTCTGGAACAACATGTACGTTTGTTTCGGGGCGCCATGGGGCGCACAATTTGTGTTTATGGATGACAACGCCCGTCCTCACCGTGCAAACATCGTAAGCGAATGCCTTCAATCGGAGGATATCACCCGTATGGACTGGCCAGCATTCTCACCGACTTGAATCCAGTAGAGCACGTGTGGGACATGCTTGGCCGACGAGTTGCAGCCCGTCAACCTCCTCCTACATGTCTACCGGAACTTCGGAGAGCATTGCTTTTTGAGTGGTGTAATATCCCCCAAGATCAGATCGATAATTTGATACTCAGCATGCCTAGGCGTTGTACGGACTGTATTGCATCGTCTGGGAGACATACAATGTATTAACAATCATACCAACCATGTAATATTGGTTTTTTGTAAATAGTTTTTTTTTTTTTTTTTTTTGTAATTTGCTCCAGGGAGAAAAAATCGCTAATTTTTTTAATAATATCAAACATATAGCATCTTTTTTTGCTCTTTACCTTTTGTTTAATAAATAAGCTTTACAAATAAGTCAAATTTGTTTTGCTTCTAACTCTTCCTTTGCCTGATTTTGCATTATCCTTAATTTATGGACATGAGTGTATATCATAATGCGAAACAGAAGTTCCATTGAAAGGAAGCATTTTGGCTACCTGAAAATAATGAACATAATAAATAAACACTTAAATTCTCAGTTATAAACTCAGTTTAAAAAAATTTCCTCTCTAATTCCCAAATTTAGGTTTTCTAGTGTTAGAATAAGGCTGCTTGAAGTCAATTAATTTTTTATCTTCAGAAATCAGTGAATTAATTCATTTTTAATGGGAGTAAAATTCCTAAATATGTTTTGCCTTTTGAATTATTACATACTACTGCAACTTCGGCAAATAAAAAATAGTTAGCCTCTTAAGAAAATTTTTTAAGCAATATATAAAACATACTCGGTTAAAGAATTATTATAAAGGCAATAAGTTTCAGCAAATAGTTAAATATTAAGATGAAGATTAGAATTTCAGCTAGAATAAAGTTCTATGTTAATTATATTAAAATGGAAAAAGGGAAAAAAATAAAAACTTACAGAATATTCTGCGACATGATACAGCTCCACCAGTCTTGACATTTGCAGTCCTCTAGAGAAAAAAATTAAACTGAAAGATCAAACGAGCAGTAAACATGTCTTTGTCTGACAACGTCTTTGATTTTACATTTGATTTACCAATAACATTTGTGAGAAAGTTCTTAACACTGTAAAGCTATCTAACGATCAATTCTTTATTAGTTTAGTGATTACTTGGCTTTCCGTCTCATGACTCCAAGCTGCAAATAAAATATTTGAGGGCATAGATGCTCTGTGTAGAGAAGATTAAGTTTATTTGCTTCTCTGTGATGGATGAAATTGTATTCTCGCTAATGGCAAAACCATTGACCTAGTTGAAGAGTGCAGAATTACTTTAGTGAGGAAATATCATTGCAGGTATGGTATATTTATTTGTAAACGATAACCCTCAGATGATGTAAATATACTAATTAATGGTAGCAGCAGCCGTTAATTAACGGTTAAATCGGCTTTTTCCCTTAATAAGCTATACACAAACTCAAATATGATTTCCTCTTTTTGTTTCTGAGGCAGTTAGTTTTTCTACACAAATGTGATTTAACAAAATTTGACAAGAAAGCCCATAAATAAATAAATAAAAAGAAAAAAAATCATTAAAAACAAAATCTGAAATGTTTCAGATTTTAAATTACGTCCAAAGGGGCGTTTTTTAACATTTTGTGTGTTACCTTTCTTTATTAAATATCATGTTACTCGCACTTAAACCATAAGATCTAGTGCAACAGCAATATCGCAAAATAGTTTTAAAACGAGATATCTTTAGAATTTCCGATACAGAGACTCACGCGCTGGAGATAAAAAATGTTTTTTCTGCACAACGTTGCCATTGCTCGCTTTGAAATCCTTGAGTTGTTAATCAAAAAATTCGTCAAAGTTTTAAAAAATAGGAAATCGACATAAAACAAATTTCAAATTTCAAATTGGGTCTTCCACATGCTCATATTCGTTGGAGGATTACGTTATTCAAAATTCGATGACTCTATGTACCGTTGTTTTATCACAATACGAGAAATATAATACATATTTCTTCAAATATAATGCAGGACTCTAACATTTTGTGGCAACAGTTTGAAAAGTGAACCGACATTTATGAGTCCGACGCAAAATGCCAAAACGAAACTAATAGTCCTTCGGGATTCAAATCCCTTTGGACTAAAAAATCAGTGGCTCCTTTTTATGGTGACCGCCGAAAACATCGTGGGTGAAAACGCTGCCGAGAAAACATTGCAAGGGGAAAACATTGTAATACAAATCTTGAGAGAAAAAAAAAAGCAAGGAAACTAAAAATTGCAGTTCTAAAACATAGTATAAAACATTGTCGTCGAAAATAAGACGGTTCAAAAACTTCAGTTTGAAATCATCGCTGTACTGTGTTTTGATAAAATCAAAGCACTTACGAATTATCGCTTAATGATAACAACGCAGACATGTTTTCTAACGTTGAAAATTTTTAATGCATGTTCGCAGTAGTAATCCAACTTTATTAAAGAGATTACTACCAACACAACTTTATAAAAGGATGTATACCTTTCACAGTCAATATATAAGTCTATTAACTACTAGACGTAGCATTATATGTTAATTTTCAGTTTTTAGTTCAATTTTATATTAGTTTCAGCTTCTTACATTTCCAATAAAAATTTATTAATTAATCCAAAAATATGTATTATAAAGGTAAAAATATTTCTCATTCCTTCTTGAGCTCACAAATCATTATGCAAATATATTAAAAAATTTTAAAGTCTGAAACACATGTCTGTGATGTTACTATCAAATAAAGTCTTGGAAAACTCAAAATGAAAAAGAGATGTTCACGTTTTTGAGAATGAATCAGATCAATTAAAATGACTGTATCACGAAATGATTTGCAGATGTTTTATTTTTTAACAAGGTACTTTGTACGACGTTGTTTTAAAACTGCTTTATTTTCTATGACAATGCTTATAACTCTTATATTTTAGAATTTCTGATGTTTTCTTTTTGTCTCACGGTGTTATGTACTACGCTGTTTTCCCCTTGCTTTCATGTTCTCGCAATGTTTTCGTCCGCGATATTTTTGTAGCGATGTTTTCACCCGAAGCCCTTTTCTGTACTTTCGAAGCAAGTTTCGAAGTAGATATATTATTTTCAACTAACATGCAAAATGGCATCTTGGCAAAATAAAATCCTTAGACGCATACCTTTATTTCCCTGTGCCTTTGCATATAGGTGACTGCCCGTTGGCAAAGTACAATATTTTTAGTTTCTCTGTCAACTTTAATCAATATATTACTGATTAAAAATTCAATGATTTAAATGCAATAAATTCACTTAATAACTTAAATCGTCATTTTTCCTTTTAAAAATAAAATGCCTAATCAGTATAAACTAATATAAAATATAATATATTTTTAAATTTATAATATATAATAATATATTCAATAAATTTATAATATATTCCACTGGTAGTTTTATGAACATTTACGGCCTTGTAAATGAAGAAAGGTGTTTCTAAATCCTTATATTACGTAACTAGTACAGAACTACTTTTTAAAAATTTTTATGATGTTTCGTTTCTTTTTTTAATAGGTATGTAAGATAAAAAATTAAAAATGTCAAGGTTTTTGGGTTTAAATCTTACTTGAGGTGTTAGATTATAACCTGAAACTTGTAGACTGTAATGTTTTAAATATTTTTAGCGTGATTTATTTACATCTGGTGGAGTTCAAATGGCGTGCGTCTCTTCAAAAGCTTATACTTAAAAATTAATTTTTAAAAATTTTTCTAATAAAAATGCTTACAAATTATATTAAAAATAAAAGTTTTTTCCTTCAGTTAATTTATTTTAAGTAGCTCTGGAAATACGTAATTTGAGCATTAAAATCCTGGAAAAGGAAACAGCGCTAGAATATCTGCTTAATAAGTTATCTGAATTTTTATTCTATTGATTGATAAACCGCTTATTAAAATGTGACTTTATCTGCTAATTTAAGCGTCTTTAGAAAAACCTGAATTGATGATGAATGGAAAAATGTAGTAAAGGTTATTTAATTAATATGAGAACATATTACGGAAAGCATTCTGCTAAATTAACTTCGAGAAAAAATTTGAAAATGAATAAAATCAAAAGAATATTCATGACGAAAACTACACTTTTTTCTATAAGTTTCGTACAAGTATTACTTTTTTCCCCACTTTCTATGACTTTTCTTGAATTAGTTAATTTCTTGAATTCTAGAATTTTCTTAGCGAGAAATAATTAATGTTTGGTATGTTCATATTCACATTTTTAAGAAAGCTATTTAAATAGCTTAAAATCTAATTAAGATTTAATTAAATTTTTTGAAAGGATCTGTTGGAGAAGAATTTAATTTTTATACTCTGTTCTCATGTCTGCAATCAAATTAATGTAATCTGACACTAATGCTTTGCATTTCATAAAACAGCTGAAATATCGTTAGCTCTTTATTTTTACTTTCATTTAATTAAATTAAACAACAAATCTAAGATTCAAAGCATTATGTGCTTTGAATATCGTGGAAACAAATTTGAATCGAATTTGCATTATTTTGTTTTACAGAACTTCCTATTTTAAAGCACATACTGCTAAAAAGCTTTTGATTTAGCAATAATTTCTAGACTCAAAAACTTACCCGGTCCTGCTGATGTCCCATCCGAGTGATCATGACCCATTCCTAAATTGTGGCCAAGCATATGGGTTATTGTGCTAGCTACTAGTTGAGGTTCATATATGTTAGTATCCTGTAATCAAATATATATATATATATATATATATATATATATATCAAATATATCAAAATGACCTGAATATCGAGGTAATTTATTTCTTTACAATATGCTTATTTTAAACCGAATTTTTAAGCACACATTTTTGAATAAACATTATCTTCCAAGGTTTCTCATTTTATTAAAAAATTCGTGAAAATAGTAAAGCATCGCCCTAGCCTGGCTGTTAAATTGGTATTAATTACTGCACATGCCTATTCTTCTCATCAATTACAAAGAATTAGGAAACTGTTTACCTCACTTATTCCAACTGCTTTAGCTGTGCAGATGCTGTCTGGCACGGCCATGCCTACTTCACTGCCTCGGAAATGCTTTCCTCTGTTAGTAAAAAGTAAAATCAGATATTTCTTATTCCATTAATACATATTTCTTAGTAAACTTATGCAATATTCTTAGTAAACTTATTAATATTACTTGTAACTATATATATAATTCAAAAATATATATGCATCCAGGAAAAAATTGAGCCATAACTAAGAAACGCGGCATGCAATTTGGTTTGGCGATTTGTGTAAATGGTTAAATCTGCAGCACCAGTCAGCACTGTGGAGCGATACTAGCCGCATCGGAAGTACGCATCTGATGGAATGTAAAAGAACAGGTGCGGCGGTGACGAGTATTTACAACCATGCTGACGGCTTGGATACACGGCATTGTAACGAAAGATACTTTTAAGGTTATCACATATGGCTACAGTCCCTCCTAGACGGGACTTTTCTAAGAAACGGGATTCTGGTAGCACTGCTTTAAACGGGAGGTTTCCTAGAAAAAAGAGCCCCGCTCGAAGCGAAGTCCCGCCTAGCTACGAATACAATAATGCCGAAAATGTTTCGGCTGGACCTCAGTCCCGGGTAGAGACAACCAATCAGACGAAAGTTCTGCTTCTGAAGCCTCACGTGATCCCAATCTAAACGATAATCGATTAGTGTTTGGCGTTCAAGTCTTTGTAGTAAGTGAAAATGGTAACCTAGCTACGTGGGTTTCCTGGAATTGTGCGGTTTCTGAGAATTGCGCCTTTCGACGTCAATTCCCGTGTAGCCGAAACATAATGTGATTGGGACTTCTAGTCCCAATCACATTATGGGACTCGACTCGAAGATTGGGACTCGATTACGAGATTAGGACTCGACTCGAAGACGTACTTGAAATTCAGAAGGTTACGAATAGTTGTCAGACTTTAAGAAGGGTTGCATCATAGGGCTAAAAGAGGCCGGTTGTTCGAACAGGTGGATCGGCCGGCCATATTGGTCAAAATGATATGGTCATTGTCCGTTGTTAGAAGCAGCGAAGGCATAGTCAGCCGCCGTGGTAATAGTGTTACATTTTTTTTTATTTTATGCACTTTAATTTGTAGGGTTTATATTTATTTTAACTACCATTTAAGTTTAAACTATCTTTCCTGTCAAGCCTTACTTTCCGCTGGAATTGCCAATGCCAGAGTATGTAAATTTTAGTAGAACGCGCAAGGATTCAAATTGTCAGCGGAAGTAATCTGAGTTAAATAGAAGGGAAACGAGTTCGAAAGGGTGCTTTTCTTGCTTCACGAGCGTGGAGGTGGCTAGTTAGAAATTGAAGAACCACGCGTTTCGGCCTGTGTGCTTGCCTCGGCAGATTGTTAATCTTTTAACGTAATATTCCGAAGTTTGCTGAATTATCAGCGGTATCTTAGAACGCGGTGAGGTTAGTTACGTTCAGAGAGCCTCGTAGTTAGTCACTTGTTATTGTTCTCTTTTTAGTTTCTTATTTTAATTTTACCGCCGGGTCGGCGTAGTTTGTGAGCGTCAAGATCACGCATTTGTAATTTCTAAAGTTGAATAAAAAGGGACTTAAGCCCTTCTCAAGACTTTGTCTACTTTCCAGTTCTCAGCAGTCACCACTATTGTTGCGTGCAGGTTGGAAGCGCGCAACATTACAAATTGTTGAACTTTCAGTATTATTACTTTTGCCGATATTACAACTGTATCATTATAAAAGTTTTGAAAACTGTAATACTGATTAATGTATACTTGAAATATTACTGAATTATTATGAAAATCATCTCTAAAGCAATGAAACAGTCGCAGGATGTTCCCTCTACACGTAGGTAATATTTAATATATATTTATTTACTCAATATATTCTATATTACAAATAGTACTTTTAGGCCATCATTAAATTCAATTTTCCAAAGCCTTCTTTAAAACAAATTTTGGAAAACTTTCAGTGTTTAACCCAGTCTCCTGATCGCATGAGTCATTGCCGAAGACGTGTGAAGGAATATATTGTAATCACGAATGTTAATTGCATTGAGATTCTTGTTTAGTTCTTTTTAATGGTTTCTCGATGCTTTTGAAGAGTCTGAATGTACCGCTTATAGATCAGATGATGATCATATTTTGGAAGATACAAAAGAATGTGTCGAATTCATGGTTTTTCGAAATGCCCGAGTTTAAATATTTCTTAGTACTAAAAGGCATCTCTGATAAAATAGCTTTATGGAATTTTACTTGGTGAATGAACAATATTTGAGGCTTTCCATCCTTACTCACGTTAGTTTTATCTCAGGTAAAAAGATTTCACCTGAGATGGTTCACATCACCTCATGGTGATTACATGGTTTTATAATGTGATCTATGTTATCTGAGGTATTGTGTTCACATCACCTTAGGTATAGCGAACCATCGAAAAAAATTATTGTTCAGTTTCATCACTGAAAAATGCCATTCGGCCTTTCAGCCGAAAGAACCTATTCCTTAATTCAAACCATCCATTTACAATGCCGATGCTAGAAATGTTTTGATATTATCTATAGTAATGTGTCATTTACTTAATAATAGATGAATGTAAATTTTTAGAGCTTTTCGCAGGTTCAAATTTAACTCAACCTTAAGAAATCATCGTAAATTTAGCGTTTTTCAGGATTCAGGAAAATATTTTTTCCATATAGAATCAGCTCAACTGAGGTTTGGTAAAGCAGGAACTTACTGTAGCCTTTCACATATTTCTTAAAAATTAGACTCACCGTTTCCTAATTAGAGGAACTGAAAAAACATGCTTACGTAATGAGATGAGTGGCATCTTTTGCTACTTTGTACAATTTTCTAGAAGTGTAATCCAGGAGATTTAGCAACGTCTGTCGAACGTCTGCAGTGACTTCAATCTGATCACCGTGCGCCCACGTCTCCACGTATACGACAGACACTCTGGTATTTACTGTTCGGAAGTACTGTAATTAAAAACATAGTCTTGCCTTAATGGTAATAATCACTGTAATAAAGAGTTTTGAGCACTTAAAGAACTCTTAATATAAAAGCTCAAACAAGAAATTAATATCTTGATATCGAATTAGAATGTTTGTTGTTGTTTGAAAAAAGTACTTGAGTGAAGCAGTAATATAAAACGTTTGAAAGAAATCTACGATGGTGCTGAATCAGCTAAAATTTAATTTATTTCTCCAGAAATTCGCTAGAAATTTTATTACACAACAAACGACTTTTAGATCGATTCTGTAGTTATTAATGTATTTGAATCTCCTGAAAGCTCTTCCAGCAATATGCAGAGTCTGGAAATTTCACGGGAATTGCTTCTAACTACTTTATAACTACTTCTGTTACTACATCATTTTACTCGTCTAGACAACGAAATCTTATACATATTAGTAGCATTTAAAAATGTTTTAGTAAAAAAAAAAAAAAAAAAATGGTCATTGTGATTACTTTTTTAAATTCTTTTATTTCCGTGTATGAAGCAAAATATGTATTGCAACCGCGAAGAATTTCGGCTGTCATATTTCAAGAAAAATATCTATTTTGACCATACTCTAATGCATTTAAATGGTGGTTTTGGTCGACATCTATACGTACGAACATAGTAAACATCGTGACATCTCTACGTACGTACGTATGTATGTATGTATGTATCTCGCATAATTCAAAAAATATTTATAAGGTATTTCTCTCGCCTTCTTAGCATGCCTTCGTAGTGTGGTGGTCTGCTCGCTGGGCGCGTATTCCAGAGGTCCGTGTTTCGATTCCCGGCGAAGGCGGTGCTCATTTCTCAAGTCTCCTGCTTCAAAAACAAAATAACTAATGTCTCTAGAGATTAACCGTAGAATGTTGAAATATTTTATATGAGACTGTTATAGCATCTAGTTCTACACCTCCGTTTTACTCCAAACGTATATATATATACACATGCACCCCCTTACCCGGCCTTTATTTTCGAAGGCGTTGGTCATAGTAATATATTTCGAATTACAGAAGTGTTTTAAATGACGAAAATTTTCATGTTTTGGTAATGTTAAATTTAAGAAAATTTAATGGAGTAAAATAATGTAAAACATTGGTGAATTTTCGACTTAATCTTCAGATTAATTGTAAAGATTTTCTTATTAACTTTATTATTAATTATTATTTCTTATTAACTTTATTATTTCTTATTAACTTCTATTAAATATTTTAATAGAAGTCTCTATAATTTAAGCATGATTTAATTAAGACAAGTTGAAACTTACCATATCGACGCAATTCAAAATTTGAATAGCGTCGCTAACGACTTCAGCCCTTGTTGAATTGCGATTCTCAAACTGAAAATAAAATAATTTTATCACTTTACTTTAAATACCATGTTTATCATAAAATATACAATATGTCCACACGGAAATTTATTTCTTCTTAAACTCCATTCTTCAAGCGTTTAATTTACTTTATAAAATTGAAAGAGAAAAATTTAAATTGATTAGTGTAATAAAAATCGCACAAATGGCAGTAGATTATTCCTACAGTAGACATGGCAGTATTCCTATAGTCTACATGGCAGTAAATTATTAATATTCATCATAGGAAAATTTAAGTTTTCACGCATTAAAAAAATAGCTAATTGGTTATAATGTTATTTTGAATTATATCTGTGGAGTTTATTTGAAACTGAGTGAAGATATTTTCTAAAATTTGTTTGCTTCTAAAATTACTTTCAGAATATTGATGAAAATACCTTATAATCAATGCATAAATCAATGAATAAAAATAGAAAAGGTGCAATATTTCCTCAGAAATCCTCGTAAAGGTGTTCACAGTATCACGGGTTATAATAAGTACTTACACTTCAAACAACTAAGAACGTTAAATACAACGCATCTAAACGGAAAAGCTCACACGGAGATCTGTCAATACTCCGTACTTAACGCTGAACTAAACAACTGAGAGCAGATGCTCTCTCCGGCCTTATATTGATTTCACTCGGCTGCCGAGAAATCTCTAATACCTTCCGTTTCTCGAGGCACATACGATTAAAGTTACAACTAAGGGCCGGATACGGTTACGGTTACGTATATGCATCAATTTACAGTTATTCAGTTGCAGTATCAATTAGTAAATGAACCGAAATGACTCAAATGGTCGCCAAGTTTGGCAACTTTTGGCGATTTGCCGCAAAAATTTGGGGTCAAAATTAGTGAAAAACATTCATCACCAGCTTGACGATATCTCGCCAATTTAGCGAGATAGCCATTTACTTAATGTTAAACAGACTTGTACCTGCGATCGTATTTTTCCTATAGAGCTTCGTCTCTTTTAGCATTTCATGTTACATTCTACAAAAAAATTAAAGTTTCATATATAATTTCACTAAAATAATTTATATATATATATATGCAAAATTCGTAACAATATATATCTTAAATACTTTTTATTTGTAAGTGTTGTAAAGCCTTTCCTACAGTCTGGAGGCCCACCAGCGGCCGAGCGGTAAAGTCGCTGAAAACTGGTAGTTCGGTCCGAGGTTCGAATCCCGAGAACGGGCTGGCTGCATGGGTGTTTTCGTCGTTTTCCCCATGTGTAACGTGTATACGAGCCAGTTTCCCTTGGGAAGTCCTCCACGAAGGCATCCCTCCCCTTAGGCAGATAGCCCTCGAGGCTTTGCCGTAATTAAAATAACCTAATCTAACCTAACCTACAGTCTGGAATGAACTTTTAGTTATAGTCAAGTCTTATTCAATAAATTGTATTCGTTATTTTTAAAAATTACTTTATTTTTCAAGGAAAATATTGTAAAGGGGCTGATTTTGTAGAAAGTTTCTTAGCGGAAAAGAGAACTAATCCTTATTATGAGATTTCAAGAATGTTTTGAAACTGTCGTATCGCTATGGGTATGCTATTAAAAAGTGATAAAACTTATAGATGAAGCACAATCTACCCTAAATTCCTTTTCATGTTCCTGGAAAATTTTTAATTATGGAATGACACCAGTAAATGGTTAACAGAAAGTGAAGGTATATACCAGAAGTAAGTTGAAAGCAAGTGTTATGTAATAAGAGATAAAGTTAAGTATTTCCTTGCTAGGTAAACTTACTTTCCTTAACGACGTGAACAACTCATATAGCACTTTTATTTAAATGCAGAGTGTCACATCGGAAACGACCAAACTGTGCACAACCAGATTGCTCGCTTGGAATACATAAAAATGTCTAAAGAGCTGTACCTGTATGATGCATAGGTTTCGAAAAAAAATGCGAAAAAAAGTGTGACGTAACATCCGGTGCAAGAAAAAAGATCTTTATTGGAAGCATGAACATTGGTACTTGTAGATGTTTACATAGGAATATGTTCAAAATGTTCACCAGACATATTGAGGCATGCATGCCCACTCCCGGAATGACGTCAAGCCGTCGTTTGAATCGTATATAAGAGTCGGCATTCTAGTAGCTACCGGTAATCTTCGCATGGTGATAAAGTATCCTATACGTGATTGGTTGGATACCGAATACCCAGGCCTAACAGTGCTTTAACTTACAAAGCAGGAATATTAAAGCTCAAAGAAATTATTTTATTCAAAATTATTTCATGATGATTTCCCCTTCTAAATTATTCTGGTCCCTAATTTCTTGACGCAAAATTTGATTAAATTATACCTAAGTGAGATTTTAACCTTTTTCTCAGGGCAAAGGCGTTTTCTCTTCAAAGCTTTCTATTTTTCGCTTTTCAAAATTTTTACCGTATTACATTCCAGAAGGGCAAATGTCAACTCTTATCTGATCATTGAGCTCACAAACAAGATCATTGCTGCCCAAATGTCCTGCATCTTACAATGGATACCGGCTCATGTAAATATTTTTGGTAATGAGAAGGCCGATGAGCTTGCAAAGGCATCCCATGATTCTCCTCAGCCATCCAACTGCCTAACCCTCGTTGATGCCAATGCAGTTACCAGCCAAAGACTAATCGGTCAAGTTAAAGGAAACTCCATCCCGGAATTGAACTGCGACAGAGCCATATCGACTATCATAACCAGACTTAGGACAAATCGCTTAAAAGGGATGAGGATTTTCTGCAGACGGACAGCGTAGGACAGCGTAGTTACACCAACATTTGTCCTCATTGCCCAGATGACGTCCCACTGTCTCGCCATCACATCTTCAGCTGCCCAGCAATCCATGCCAGACTGTTCGGCATCGGCATTGAAGACCCAGTGGACCTACTTTATACTGATAGAGCTGCAAAAGCTGCCTTTGACAGCTTCGGAGCTATATAATTGCACTTTGCCATAGACACGACATCATCATCATCACCGTATTACATGAACCCCTCTTTTGATGACAATTTTAATTCTTTGATGATCTCTTTGATGGTAAACGCTTCGTGCCTAAGTACTCCGTAAATTTAAACTTCCTTGATCCGCTGGACTGGACATTGGGGATTCGGTTTTATGGCCGCCACGATCATCAAATCTGACACTTTTAGATTTTGTCCTGTGGTATCATCTGAAAGAATTGGTCTGTGAAGACCTAGTTACTACATAAAGTGATCTAGTTCCTTGTCTTCATGTTGCGTATAATCTTGCAGACACCACGCTGTTGCAACGTTATATAAGCAGCCATTACACTGCGCGCGCGTGCATGCTTTTATATGCGCGGTGGACATTTTCAACAGCTTCCCATAAAAATATATGCAAATACCGATATTCATGCTTCCAATGAAGATGTTTTTTCCTTTGCACCAGATACATCGTCAGTATTTCTTTCGCATTTATTTAAAAAAAAAATATGGGCCTTACAGGCACAGTTCTTTTGCAGTTTTTATGTATTCCAAGTGAGGAATCTGGCTGTGCAGAGTTTCGGCGGTCTTCATGAGGCACTCTGTATAACATAGAAACACTACCTGTCGATAACACGAAATTAAATAAATTGATTATTTTTATTTTCTAATCTTAAAATATTTGGTTTTATCTTTGTAAGAATTTTAATTCATTTCTTTCCCTAATAACCTAATTTTACAAAATCTTTTCAATTGCACAATCAAAAGCTAGAAAACATCATTTCATAAATTGCCACAATTTTTCTAAAGCAGGTGTCCGCCGAAAACATCGAGGCAAAAACATCGCGGAGAAAACTACGCAAGGCGAAAACGTCGTGGAGCAAAAACTGCGTAGTTTTCGCACCGCTTTATTTTCGACCACGATATTTTGTACCACGATGTTTTCCCTTTGCTTTATTTTCTCCCCTGATATTTTGTACCACTAAGTGTGTTGTTTTCTCCGCTACGTTTTCGTCCGCGATGTTTTTGCCGCGATGATTTCGGCTAAGAAAGAAGGCAGGACTTAGGGAATGGTCGTGACATAACTTGATTCTTAGTTAAGAATAAACAGCAATAGGGAATGATGCAAGTTACATTTGTGTACCTGTAAGAATGAATATACATGTAAGAACTATACTTTTGTGTGTAATTAATTGTCCGTACAAACATCGTTCTGTTTCTGTTTCTGAACAAATATTACAACGGTAAGAGCAACGCATTTGAATAAATAATCACTATAATAATTCGAGTACATCTATTTGTTTAAGTGAACTTATAGGAAACCTGTAAATTTTTGTTCCGCATTGTTTAATCCATTCACTAAATTATTCTTGCCTTTCAAAAAAGAGGAAAGAAAATATGGGTTGACTTAGTAAATTTCTTTTTCTATAGAATTTATAACTGCTGGATTATAAAACTAATAAAATTTTAACTATTTCTTTAAAAAACTCTAAAACTTACCATAGCTTGATCTATAACTAAAGCTAGTTCAATGAATTTGTATACTTGTCTCACATCCCTCTAGAAAAGTAAAAGAAAATTAAAAATGTAACTAAATTATTCACTTCTGTTTTATACTTCTAAAAATGGTATTAGATATATATTTAAAACATTAAAAGTTATTGTTAACAATAATTATATTTTCTCTTTATTTTAACATATGTTACGCACAGTTTTATAAAATCAAGCTGAGTAAATCAGTGTAATTAAAACTTCATAATTTTAAATTAAATTTTATCAGTGCGTAACAATAGCATATAGGAGCTAAATGATTTTTAAATTTTAAAGCCATTTGCTATTTTTATTAGTAAAACTGTAAATTGTTACGCACTGATAAAATTTAGACGTTTTAATTACATTGATTTACTCAGCTTGATTTTATAATTAAGATGAATAATTCTTATTTTGTAACTTTCTCATCTCTCTAAGATTATATTTTATATATGAAATGCTCATATTTCTAACAATTTAACACAGGTCACCATTCGTTCATGATGGTTCTCCTGATGAAATGCTTCTGATGTCAGCAATTTAATACATAAAGCAAATTCTTTTAAGACAGTGTAATAATACTGCATTTAATATATGCTTCAAAACCTTATTTTTATTACTGCTATATTTTCTTTTTTAAATTTTCTTGTGCACAAAATTTTCTAAAAGACGAAAATAACTCAAAATGTCAATATTTCATAACTGATTCTTACCTTAATTCTTGTGGGTGGTCTTATTCTGAATTGCTTGAAACCCCATTCATGCATACCAGTATTGCCTGGAAAAAATAAATCAAGGAAGAATTTTTCAAATAGTTAGCACACGATTCTAATTAGTTAGCATATAATAGAAACTTTTACAAAATATTTGCTTTGTGGCTATTCCTTAAATAAATGCAAATTAAATAAAAATAAGCTTAGTTATTATTTCTCATTTTAATACCTACAGCTGAAAAAAGTACCGGGGACTTTTTTAAAACGTACATAATTGTAGCTAAAAGTCAGGAACAGGAACAGATTTTCTGCTATATAAAATCTACATTTCTTCAACAGTAGCTTTTTCCCTTGCACCTCAACGTAGTGATCTCTCATCATAACGCTGAACAAATAATCAGAATTAACACCCATGTAATGAAAAATTAGAACCTTGCTAGTAGAATTTTAAATACATGAGAAAAATCTTTAAATTATGCATGCTGATATTATTTCACTTTATGACTAAGCTTGTAAGTTTATGACTTACAGAAATAATAACACTGTGGCTAATAAGATTTATATAATTTCAACCTCATTTATATTAATTAAATTTTGTTAGTTATATTCTAATTATAATTTTAATTATATTCTAATTAGAAGTATTAGAGTATTAATACTGAATATTTCTGAATTCGCTATATTCTATTAGTATTAAATTCACTATATTTTAATTTCGTTTCCTTTTTTCAAACTGAGTCTCATTCACTCTACCTCCATACGATTGGACCGAAAATGGTGCACAATTGTTGTGTTGAAAATGAATCTCCAATAAAAAAATGGGAAATATTTTCATAGTAAAAAAATTTAATAAGGTATGTTTTTAATAGTGAACATCGGAAACCATTTTTATGCGTATTAGACAAGTGTGTATAAAAATTTTTTAGTTCATTAAAAATATGAAAAATAGAAGTAAAACTACTTTTAAGTTTTCCTTAAGAATATACTTTTAAAAATTTTAAAGTCTAAAAACATATAACTGTGATATTATCATCATGCAGTTATGGGCGCTTTATTTTTTACTATGATATTATACACTACCATGTTTCAAAAGTGCACAGATTTTGAACTACTTTATTCTCTACGAAGATGTTTTGCATCAGGATATTTTAGATCTGCTATGTTTCTCCTCATTTCTCTTTTCCTAGGATGTCCTCTTACATACGACGGTGACTCCCTGTGTTTTTTCCTCCACGATGTTTTCATTCTCGATATCGTTCAACTGCGATATTTACGTTGTCGTGATGTTTTTAAAGCCTGTAACCAATATTTTGACTCTTGTAGCATCAGCAGTCTTTTGTTGGGCGTGGATTTCTTCTACCACACTATTTACATTGGTTTTAGAGTGTGGTTCATTTAATTAAAGCAAAGCACTCAAGAACTAGCTACCTAAGGGAAGGGATGCCTTTGTGGAGGACTTTCTAAGGGAAACATGTGTAACATATACTCTGGTGTGCAAAAATTAAGGACGAAGTCAAAAAATTAGCATATCAGCTGAACGAAGAGGCAGAGCGGACAGAAAGACCAATCAGGAGATTAAGTAAGGTGATGTACGGTAGCACATGCGCAGATATGCAGGTAGACGTAATGGGGGAGTGTCTGAGTAGTATAAAGCATGTTGTCGGTGTAAGATCAGTATTTCTGGCAAAGAGATTGCACGCCGTATAGCAGTTAAAATCACAACGAGCTGCTGCCTCAGCGAGAAATGGCGAATAATCAATCTGTTAGACGACATCTGGATGCTTTTACCCGAGGTCGAATCATTGGAAAGTTGGAGGAAGGCCGCAGTGTGACAAGTGTGGCTGCAGAGTTCGGAATTGCTCACAGCATCGTTTCACGACTTTGGAGACAATTTCAAACTACAGGAACAGCTATGGGGGGTTCAGTAGTGGTCGTCCACGAGGAACCACACCCGCAGATGATCGGTATATTGCCTTACAGGCCAGAAGAAACAGGCGGCAGACAGCGGGAGAAATCGCTAGACACACGAAACAGGCGACTGGACGACCGATATCGCGTTTTACCGTGGCCAGAAGACTGCACGGTGGTGGTCTGTTTGCACGACGCCCTGTACGGTGTGTACCTCTAACGCCTGCCCATCGGAGAAAGCGTTCTCTGTGGTGCCGGGAACACCGGGATTGGAGAGACAATGAATGGGGACGAGTACTCTTTACAGATGAGAGCAGATTCAGTCTGAGTAGCGATTCTCATCGCATACTCATCTGGGGAGAGCGGGGAAGCCGCAATCATCCCTCGAACATCATTGAAAGGGACAGGTATGGAGGTGGCGGTGTTCTCGTTTGGGGAGGCAATCATGCTTGGTAGTCGTACAGACCTTCACATCTTCGACGCAGGTTCAGTCAACGGGACCCGTTATTGTAACGAGATTCTTCTTCCATATGTGCGTCTTTTTAGAGGTGCTATGGGTCCGCAGCTCCTTTTCATGGACGACAAAGCACCATGTCATCGCACAATAGCTGCCGAGCAGCTCTTAGAGAGTGAGGATATTGAACATATGGATTGGCCGGCACGATCTCCGGATCTCATTTCCATCGAGCATGTATGGGATTTTCTAGGCATACGCTTGGCAGCTCGTACCTTACCACCAGTAACGATTCCGGAGCTTGGATTGGCGCTGCAAGACGAATGGGCAGCAATGCCTCAACAACTCATTGACACCCTCATTCTCAGCATGGGCAGACCCTGTGAAACCTGCCTAGCAGTCAGGGGAGATCATATCCCCTATTGAAGACCGGATGTTTCTTGCTGGACACCCATCATAGGGATGTTTCGGCCTTCAGTCGCATTGCGCTCCATGCTACTTTTTCAATAAAACTTCTTTTTATCCCTCTGATTTCTCTTTTAGTAAGTGTTGCTTACATCATTCATGTCCTTACGTATTGGGGATCTTACGGTATTAAATGTGTTGATTTGGAAATCTTTTGTACAAAGTTATATTGAAAAAAACCGTCTCGTCCTTAATTTTTGCACACCAGTGTATACGTTACACTTGAGGAAACCACGAAGACGTTCCTGCAGTCAGGTCTTTCGCTGGGATTTGATCCCGAACCAGAAGCGTTCAGCTACTTCATCGCTCGGCCTCTGGTGTGCTGGTTTTTAGGCAATGTACGAGTAATGAGCGAAATTTCAGTGTATCGAAAGTATTGTACTAGGAAACATCAGTAGAGTAATTTTGTTTGTTTGTTTTGGATTTAAATTATCTGAAAAACAGATGCAGAAAAAATTATGATTTATTTTTAAGTGGAAGAAGTTTTTGGCTTTTTTAATTACTTATTTTCTTCATAACTGTTTGGCAATCTGACAAAAAACGAGTTTTCAAGTAACAGTTTAAACTTTGGCGTGCGGTTTACAACTTGTTGCATAGAAATATAGAGTGTTTCAAGATTTGAGGGAATATAATGCAAAAAATTCTATACGAAAATTATCTAAAGAATCATTACAATATCTCATAAGAGCCCTCGAGATGCATTTGATTAGCACAGCCAGCTACAAAATTGAAAGACCTGTACGTACGTACGTATCTCGCATAACTCAAAAACGAGTAGCCTCAGAACGTTGAAATTTTGTATATAAGACTGCTATAACATGTAGATGTCTACCTCGTATTTTGGTTGCAATCGGCTGCATCAAACATATATAAACATATTTATATATATATCCACTCTGTTACCCGGCTCAGTGATCTCACTTTCTTTACTCTTATATGTTTGTAAATTGTACAATTTTTGCTTTAAAAATGATTGGATTGTGTTGTTTTTATCTTCCGGTTAAGGTTTTTATGCCTTTAGTAAATCTGTATGCACTATTTTTAGAATTATCAACAATTTTAAAGTTGTTTAAGTGCCGTTAAGCCTTTTTTATGGCGGCCATTGATTGTTTACATTTGAAACAGCAGAGTAGTGGATTTGTTGCCAATCTAGAGAAACTTAGCTTCGCAACAACAAAGATAACGCATTCATTTATTATTGCCAATTAAATCATGCTTAATTCTTTCTGTAATTTTTTGAGGAAATAAGTGTTTAAGATTTACTTCGTAATTTTTAATGTAGATATTTTGATTTTTTATGTATTTTTGCCTTCTCGCGAAGTGAAAACTGAATTAATTGAATGAGAGATACTCAATCGTCTGTGAAAAACTGTTTCTTTTTCGTTTTGATTGCTGAATTTCTTTTATACATCATTCTAGCTTTGTTATAGCATTTGAATAGAACATGTGGCAACGATTAGATAATTCTATTCTTTAAATGATATAAATTTTGTGCATTATGAGTTATAATATGAACGAAATATATAAGTTAGCTGTTATATAATTATTGGATTATATAACAATTAACTTAGTTTCCGTTATATAATTATTATCTAAGTTAACTGTTATACAATTATTAATACTGTTAAGTGAATCTAGTGCCAGAGTGTCGCTATGGTAAACAAATACTAGAGTGAATTTTAAAGAATGCATTTATTCTATTGTGGTTTATGCGCTGTCGGCGAAGTAGATTTAATTCAATTCAATAAGTTTAAATTAAATGAAAAAAAAATCGTATAATTTAATATTCCGTACAAGGAAGTCATGTGGTGTACACATCAGATTTTTTACTAAGATTTACTGTCTGTTTTCTGTAGTGAAGATTCCATTAGACAGTATTTAGCAAATGCATTCACTGTGTCTTTTATTATCCGTTGCATTGATATAACAGGGCAGGTACTAAAAATAAAGCTGATCTATTTCCATATATGTATAGCTTAATATTATAAGCAAATACGATTTTATTATATAACATGCAAATTTTAGTATCAAACTGATGTTGATATCATAGGAAAATCTATGCATTTCGAGAAAGATTTCCATGGATCTCTTTCTTTTTCAAAGAGCAAAAATATTTATAATGTTGCGTGTGCGCTTGTTCGTAATGGATTGAATGCATATAAAACCGATGATAGCTTGATAAAATTTCGTTTTCCAAAAGAAAAATTTACAAAAATAAGTTTGATAGTTCTGGAACTTTCTACAAATGTACTTTCTTTCTTTTCACCATCGACGGAATAGCTGGCCTGACAGAGGATAATCAGTAGTTACCATCAAACCACTAAGAACGTTAAACACAATGTAAAGCAAAGCGCATGCTGAGTGAATTGTGAAGCTCTCACGGAGATTTCAATGTTCCTAAGTGATCTCTGAACTGAAAAACCTGGAATTGATGCTCTCTTCTGTTTTATATAGGTTTCCTCCGTCCTCCAAGAAATCTCTAGTACCTTCTATTTCACAAACTATAGTTATACTTGTGCCGGACAAAAATGTTGCCAAATGGTCGCCAAGAGTGGCGACGTTTGACAGTTTCTCGCCAAATTTGCGGCCAAAAATTATTAGCACACGCTCATTTAAAGAAATAGCCATTTACCTCAATGTTAAGTAGACTTACCCGTGTAATCTTGTTTTTTCGGTAGGGCTTCGTCTCTTGATGCATTTATGTTACATTGCACAGAAGATAAAGCTAGTACAAATTATCATATTATAATTTGAATAAAGTTATTTACATATGTACAAAATTCGTAGTAATAGTTTTTTTTTTCCATTTCTTTTCCTTTCCTTTTTGGGGGGGGGGTAAACCAATCATTAGTTTTTGAATCAAGATTCGCAAACCTCTCTTCAGCCTTGAAATGTTGAAATTTTCGTAATTCGGAAGATCAATTAAAATTTGCTGTATGTATTTTAAAATTTGTTATAATTATTTTGGCTAATCTATATAGCCTTCATAGTTTTCGTTTTTGATGTACAAGATATACTAAATTATTAAAACTGAAAATACAGTAAAGGAGAATAAATGTAAAAAACAAAAGCAATTATCACGGATTGTTTTCTACTCTAAGATGCAACAGGGTGAGCTCTTTTTCTTTAAAAAAATTCCTCACACAAAAAAAAGCTATTGAAATCACAAAAAAATATTTTATTCTACTTACCACATGTATGCTTTCCTTTATTTTCTGGAAAAAACCGGAAAAGCACATGGGGATGCTTCCGCTGATTCAAAGAAAAAAAGAAAAGGAAATAATTTCGAATAATTGCTCATTACGCAAGCATATATGAGCAAGTAATTAGGTTGAAGGATCATTAAGTACAAAAGGAAATGCATTTAAAAGACGCAGAACGGCAGTACTGAAAGCCATATTTAATACGAATGCGTATGATTTTGAAACCTAAACAATTGTTTCTATAGTAATTTTCTCATTCCTTTTAATTACAATGAAAATAAAATAGAAGAAAGACAAATAGGAAATAAAACACTGAGATCATTAATTGCAAATAGAAGTAGTGTTTTGGACATATTACACGAAACGATTTAGCATAAACAATTTATCTTTTTGAATGCCATCTAAATTTGGTGAATTATTCTCCGAATATAGAACCATGAATTTTCAAGTGGAATGCTTTTTATTTCTCTCAGATTTGAATGATTACTGGTACTCGGAGCTTAATGGTCTTTACTTGATGTGATTTTGTGTTTGGTTTTTAAATGAAAATATTAGACGATTTAACACTGGTACAAACTAATTTCAATTATTAAATGCACTAGTGACTGATACTAGCTAGTATTATATTTATATGTAGTACTAGTAAGTACACAGGATGTTTACACATTTCAGAAACATTTCAGGACCGTTTAATTAATATTTAAAATGCAAAGAGTATTTTTAAATTACAGTGGTGGCCAAAACTGTGGACACTTTTGGAAATTTTTATGTTTTTGAACTTTGTATGCTTATAGAAAATGTTACGTTTCGCGAAATGCAAACTTGTATATATCATTTTAAAGAGAATTTATTACTGAATTCAATGCAAAACACAAAATTCAATTATTTGCAATACAAAAAAAAGTTATATGTACTTTAGTATAAATAGGAGACAAATTCAATAAAAAACAAAGAAGGAAAAGGCCGAAAAAGGTGCACCACATCTATTGATGACAGAAGAATAAAAAGACTATGTCTTCAAGATAGGAAAATGTCATCAGCGGCCATCAGAAGTGATCTGAAGGATGCTGGTGTTTCTGTCAGTTCAAGAACAATCAGGAGAAGATTAACAGATGTTGGACTGAGAGGTAGAATTTCAAGAAAAGAGCCTTATATTAATTTTCAGCAACGAAAAAAAGACTACAGTGGGCAAAGGAACACATTGGACAGATGATCAGTGGTCACAAGTTATATGGAGTGATGACACTAAGATATCGTTATTCGGTAGTGATGGGCGAAAATATGTAAGACATAGAATAGGAGAAGAGCTACATCCTGACTGCATTCAAGCAACTGTGAAGAACCCAGTTAGTGTTATGATTTGGTCATGCATGTCAGCAGATGGTATTGGTCGCCTTCATGTCATCGATGGGACACTGAATGCCAGAAAATACATTGACACTATTCTAGAACCAAAACTTCTACCTTCCATCAGAGATCTCTTTCTCAACAATGCTTCGTTTATTTTTCAGCAGGATTCTGCTCCTTGCCACACGGCCAAAATATCGTACAAAGAGCATTAAATTGTTGTCATGGCCAGGAAAAAGTCCTGACCTCAATCCTATCGAAAATTTGTGGCACCGTTTGAAAACGCCTGTCCGAATGAGGCGCCTATCAAATAAAAGAGAACTAATTGAGGCTATAATTGTTTCCTGGCATCATGTAATAACGAAAGAAGAGCTTAAAACTCTTGTCAGCTCAATGAAAAATCGATGTGAAGCTGTAATCAAAAATAAAGGGTACCCTAACTGATAACTCACTGCAATCATCACTATCTAATATATATCGATAACTATTATCGTTCAACTTTTTTTGTATTGCAAATAATTGAATTTTGTGTTTTGTATTGAATTCAGTAATAAATTCTCTTTAAAATGATATATACAAGTTTGCATTTTGTGAAACGCAACGTTTTGAACGCTGCTTTTTTGATGCAGTTCTACTGATTCATGGAACTTATTTTATATTTGAAAATTGGGTATAAAATATGTTCCTGATAATACGTGAACTTGATCTTAAGATATTTCTCCGTTCTCTTTATTTTTAATTTGATGTTGTACGAAAAACTAGCAAGAAACATAAATGCTTTTGAAAAACATTCTTTAAAATCTTTGAACCATGTTTTAAGACTTTTTCGTTTTCTTTCATGATAATAAATGGACATATTTTTATTGAGGTCATTTAAATACACCAAAAGGTCATCTACTGTGAGCACAGTTTTTTAATTTTATCAAAATAAATGTTTCCCATTAAGAATTCTGTAACGCGTTCTACGTTCCGCTATCTGTCGTTGAGAATGACAGAGAACATTACGCTTTTTCGCTCTTTTAAGATTCAAATAAACATTAATCACTTTGCTTTCAGTTGACGATGAGTATTTAAATGATTTTGCAATCATGCTTTGATTTAGCAGATTTTCTTTTAACATTAACTATCTTGCCTTTGCAACATACGAAACATTACGTTTTTCCTTGGATATGTATTTGGAACAGTTTTTTCATTTGAAGCTAAACTTTGATGTGCTTTTCTTTTCTATTTTTCAGTATCAATTATCGTAACTTTAGATATCGAAAACCCGTGGCTTTTACGGCGTTTTTATTAATTAGTACGAATAATTTTTTTCGGAAACATCACAAGCATGGCCTTCCATCCACTTTTTGTTTAAATGCGGCATTTTGCATGAAAATAAAACTACCAAGTAGCAGACGACTTTATCTTTCAAAAATATAGTTGCAGCTAAAAATATTTCGAAACAGAGGCTTTTTTCTTATAGCTAAGCAAAATTGTCTGAATATATGCAAACAGCGTCTGTACTTGCATGCCTTCATTTGTTTCAAGGAATGCAGCTTTACCTTTCGAATTACGACTTGTTACTTTACATTGGTGAAATTTCACTCTTTGGATGAAGTCATTGTAATAAAAAATGGAATTTCTTCTTTAAATATCAGACTCTAAAAAGTACATTGAGTTTGAATTTAACATTTTTCTCCCCTCTTCTTATTTTAAATTTCTCATTGTAAGAAAATCTTGCTACTATCAAAAACCACTTGCTGAAACTCTTTTTGCATTGATGGGACCAGGTTTGTACATTTTTGCTTGCGCTTAGAGATTTTAATACTTGTATTTCACAATGTTTTCTAATTATGGAATAAGACTATTTCTTTTGGAAGACACAAAAGCATATTCTTCAATCCACGACTAGTTTATACACGAAATTTTGAAAGAAGGATAAATTTAAAAGTAGCAAACGATATTTCTCATTCCAAACAATAAGCTGTTGCCAGAAATTTGTATTCCCAAACACTTGATTTTTTGAAATTCTTTATCATTCTAAAAACGTGTAAACGGCTTCTGTAAAAATCTGATTTGTATCATACATATTTGATATTTTTAAGGCTATGAGATAAACCATTTACGAATAACATATTTGATTTGAAAATTTTTTGTTTCAGTTTCTTTATCTGACGTGTTATAATAGAATTTCGAAGGAATGAAAAGTTACCATTTTATTAATACCAATCAATGGGTTAATAGTTAAATGGTTATATACTAACAGTTCCATGAAAATGGACAAATCTATCTCAGAGCAAAATCCAGTAACTTAATTTATAATATAAAGCATTAAATTCATAAATTTAATTAATTTTTTAACAGTAGTTAAACGTTAATTGCTGAATTCATTTCTTATTTTGAAATTAACAAGTACTTAATTCATTTATATTAGAAAATGCGCTTTCGATATTACTCCAGTGCAATGAAAGATTTATCTCTGAACTGTAAGAGAAACGTAATGTTCTTTTGTTTTCAATAAACAAATAAAAATTCCAGAAATTTTCTTATCATTATTCGCTTCTATATTTATCAGATTAATTCCATATTAAATAATCTTTTAATTGTAAAAGAATTTACTATGTAATGAAAACAACAAAAAATTAACTTACTGATAAAAGAAATCTGAATTTAAGCTTTGGGATAGACTATAGTAAAAAGAATTCAGTTTTGTCGCTTACCGATAAGTCTCCTCCATAGAATGGGTGAATCACAAAAGTTTCGTTACCCACATGAATTACTCCACTAGAACAGGATAAATATTGTTTATTGAAACTCATTAAAATTTACACATAGCAAAAAGCAATAATACAAGTTAAGAGCAACAGGGTGGTTGAAAAATAACTCCCCGAGAGTTACCCAACGCTTGACACCCCAACGCCTGACGCCCAACGCCAGAATGACCCAACGCCTGACGCCGCGTGCTCGAGCCATATCACATCAAGTTACTATATGTAGCCCCTAAACACCTTTAACCGATCTTGTACTGTGAAAGTGACGGTAAAGACACTTTTAGGAACAACCTGGAGTGTCTACTTTTTGTGGACAAATGAACATTTCTTGAACAACTTGCAAGTTCTCCTTCTGTCTGGTTTATTAATGAAGGTTCACTTCTGAAAAGCATCTGCCATAGATGTTGTATCTGACCATGAGCATGGGATGACAGTTCTTGACGGTCATCAATTCAGCGTCAATTCAGGTCATGAATTCAGCATGGAATGTTGATTTTTCAGCGTGGATTTCGGGAGAATATTTCTCGAATAACTTGAAGATTCTCCTTCTCTCTGGTCAGGTAAGGGACGATTATTTTTCCAAGCATATCCCGCAGATGTTGTAGTCAGGAGCTTTAGATGTTTAGTTTTCAACGGTCTTGGCGTTAATTCAGCCTGGAGTGTTGTTGACGTTTTGTGGACTTCTGGTAAACATTTCTTGAATAGCTTGAAGATTCTCTTTCTCAATGGTTATTGAGGAACAGTCACTTCTGCTGGCATCTCCCTGTATGCCGTAGTTATGAGCTTAGGATGAAGCACGAAGACTGTAACTACAGTGTCACTATCTTTACAACTTCAGATTGCTACATTTCATAGTGGGAAGCGATCTGGCACGATCACGCAGTGTCAGGCATTAAGTTATTTGTGCGGCTCTTATCATTCTGAAACAAAATAAATAAAGCAGATAGTAGCAATAATATTATTTAATCTTTAATGATCTCGATATTTTTCATTTCATGAGAATCCTACACATGAAAAAAAATGTTATTAACAATGTTTAGTGAAGAGTTTTTTTTTCCTACTCACTCGATATATAACTTAGAATTTTATACTTTCCTCTGAAGTTATTTATTTTAATTATATACTCCTTCGGATTGTAATTCGAGTATTGTCTCAAAGAATAATAAGTAATAAAGTAAAAAATGGTTAATAATAAAGTAAAAATAATTGGTTAATAATAAAGTAATATAGAATAATAACGTAAAAAATTGATTACTATTATGACTTTTGCAAAACTTTAATTTTGATAAACATTAATTCCTACATTGTGTTAAAACGCTAAATTCATGTATTCATGTCAGCGATTCCATTTTTATTTTAATCTTTAAGAAGGTTCTTACGAAAGGAAAGAAAAGAATATATCTATTACAGGAAAATTTATAATTGGATTAATTTGATTATAAATGTATAAGTTAAATTGACTCTTTTTTAAATAAAATTAAAAACTTAAAACATGCTAGAAAATTCAATATATTTTGGATTGTTACTTACTGGTTCAGAGATTTTAAATTTCTTCTAGTGATGATTTCCAAAAAGATAGTTTTTTATATTTGTAAAAATTCGGTTAGTTAGATCATTTCATGAAACAAACATCTTCAAAATAATTACATCTTTGGTTTATTGGAAAATAAATATGTTATTAATGCTGAGGATTTTGTTATGTAATTTTTAAATTCATTAATTCCCACTCTGTCCTTCGTTTGTACACGAGGTATTTTTATTTTTGGTGTATTATGGGAATTTCGTTAGACGTTAAGTTTATCTCAAGCTATTTCTTCTCCAGTTCCAACCATTTACGGTTGAAGACATTTTGTTTCCTGAATATGTAGTTTAAAATGATGCTAAAATCATGTGCAAATTAAATTACGTATTTTATGCGATTTTTCCAAGCTAGAAATTATTTTTTGATATTTCTTATTACAGATCTTAGTAATTATCTTTTGATCAGGTTCATCTGTAAAGCTTCGTTTTCCCTTAATACGAAAGTTTTTCTGCTTCATAAATTTCAATTTACGCTTTCCTTTTTATTAGTTAATAAATCGTATATGGTTAAAATTTCTCTTTAACAATTACAACTCATTTTTTATGCTTCTTTCAAAATAAATTAATCAATCCGTCATAGAAAATGAGTCCTTTATGAACTTAAATGGAAGTGAAACACGGAAACGTAAGATTTAAAGCTAGGCAAAGAAGCATGTTTAGATTGGTGTAAATTTTGAATCAAATTTTATCTCTATTTCAATCAGGCACAGTTCAATCCACAGATCAAAATCTTCTTCAAAAGTAAACGAATTTTGAAAGCGTTCGAGGAGAGAGAACTATTTTATATGGAAATAAATGGGCGGAGCAAAGGAAAAATAGCGCCCCTGTCATCGAAAGCATGTGTTATTTACGAGTGCCTGGATACAAAACTCCCACAGATTAAAAATTTAAAAATACAATAGGATATTCCTGTAATTATTTTATAATTATTTTATGTTTAGAAAATGTAAAGCAAGATATGGACATTTTGCTGAAAGTGGAAAATGAAAGAACTTACCTGACGCCGTTGCATGTTCGAAGAGCCGCTATTCCACCTGGATATTCCTTGATCGTGCCGTGATAGTAGCACTGTTCTATTTCCTTTAAAAAAAGTGGTGCATTATTTTACAAGTTATGCAACTACGTAAACGCATGAGTTTTGTTTTTAAATAAAAAAGCATTTTATACCATATTCTTCTACCACATTGTTAGAGAGGAACCCATTTTGCATAAATATTGTTTCGTGCGTATGGATTTGCCTTAGTTTGAATTCACACGGAACCGATGAAAACGTGATAACATTTATTTTACAAAAGAAACATTTCATAATTCTGGAACTTTCCACAAAAATACTCGTACAGCTGTTCGTACTATCGTAGAGTACAATCAGTAGTTACACTTCAAAATATTAAGAACGTTAAACACAATACAATGCATAGCGAATCTAGAGAGCGAAGCTTAACATGGATACATCTCAACGCTTCGAGCTCATGCTGAACTAAATAAAAATTACTCAGAAACTGATGCTTTCCCTGGCCTTTTATAGTTTTCTCCCCTCCGCCGAGAGATTTCCAGTAACTTCTCGAAATTATTGGAAGACCTATGAGAGCCGGATATGGTTACAACTACATATAGCTTCGATTAAAATACCCATTCCAGTTTTGCAGGACTGGACCAAAATGTCGCCAAACTATCGCTATATTTGGCCACTTTTGGCGATTTCTCGCCAAATTTGACCCAAACCATCGCCAACTTGGCAATATCTTGCCAATTTAGCGAGATAGCTACTATTTACTGAATGTAAAAGAGTTGCCTCTGTAATCTTATTTTTCTCGCATAGCTTCGCTTCTTAATTTTTTTTTTTTTTTTTGCATTGCACAAAAAAATTACAAACTCACATAAAATTTCACTAAAATTATTTCCATATGTACAGTGGATGGACAAAAATATGGAAACACCTTGTGAAATGCATGTTTGAAAGGAAAGATTGATTTTAATGAAATATGTAGTGGCGCTGGCGTTTTTGACTACTGACGCCACCTATACAACTTCGTAAATGTGCTAAACAGTTCAGTTGTTGTCGGAGTACTGTTATGTGAGGTTGTCATTGCATTATGTCAGAGTTAACAGACTTCGAACGTGGGCAAATTGTTGGAGCACGTATGGTAGGTGCTTACGTAAGCAAGGTAGCCGAGGTGTTTAGTGTTTCAAGAGGTACTGTATCGAAGATTTATTCCGCATATTTGAAAAGCGGAAAAACATCATCTGCTAAATCACAGCGCGGACGAAAGTGTGTCCTGAGTGATCGTGACAGACGATCATTAAGGGCAATTGTAACGAAAAATAAGAAAACCACAGCTGCAAAAGTTACTGCTGAAATGAATGTTGTGTTATCGAACCCTGTGAGTACCAAAACAAAAACAGGGAGCTTCCATAAACAAATTTGCTGGCCGTGCAAAAAGGTGGTGTAAAAAAAGTGGTGTTTAAGTCGTAAGCCTGGACTATAGAGCAGTGGAAGCGAGTAATATGGTCTGACGAGTCTTCTTTCACATTGTTTCCCACTTCTGGCCGATTTTACGTCTGGAGAACGCCATCTCAAGCAATACAGACTGCTTGTTGCCAAGAGTGAAACATGGCGGGGGTTCTGTTATGGTTTGGGCAACCATATCGTGGTTATCTGCTAGCCCCATAATAACTGTGTCAGGGCCCATGACTGCCAAGACTTATGTGAACATTTTGGCCGATCAAGTTCATTCCATGGTACAAACTTTGTTCCCCGATGGTGATGGTGTCTTCCAAGACGACAAAGCCCCTGTTCACACAGCTCACATTGTCCAGGACTGGTTTTCTGAGCACGAGGATGACTTGTCCCCTCTCCCCTGGCCACCACAGTTACCAGACCTGAATATTATCGAACCTTTGTGGTCTACATTGGAACGGAAAGTGCCACACCGCCAACATCGTTATATGAACTTGCCACCGTTTTGCAGGAAGAATGGTATAATATTCCCTTGGCAAACATACAGAAACTGTATTTATCCATTTCGAGAAGACTGCAAGCTGTTTTGGATGCCAACGGGTTTCCTACACCATATTAAGCAAAGAAACATGTTTTTTTAAAGGTGTTTCCATATTTTTGTCCAACCCCTGTACAAAAACCGTAATCATATTTTTGATATGAACTTCAGTAGCGGTATGTATTGGATTTAACTGACTATTTAATAAAGTAATTAAAATTAAGACTTTAATTAACTTAAGCAGCTAATATAATATTAAAATTGAACTTTTGCACAGATTTAGCATTGGTAATAATGTAATAAAAATAATTTTTAATTCTCATTACATTGTCATTTTTAACCTTCATAAACAAATAAGTTAATTAGTGCGTTTCTTTAATTTTATTTGCATTTAACAACATTTTATTTTTCTAACATACTTAGTCAAAATGGCCATTATTGTTACAAATGAAAAAGAAAACGTCCTAAATAAGTCTTATAGCCTTTGTTGGCTTTTGTACAGCTCACTGTAAAATTTGACGACATTTTATTTAATTTTTATTTTTACTTTTATCTTTATGCAAAGATACTTTTATAAATAAAGATTACTTTTATAAATAATATGCTTTTATTTTTTTTTCGAGATCTGAAATCATTACCTGTTTGATAATGGGTAACATTTTGTAAAAATTTTATTATGTATTTAATTTTAATTCTTTTTTTATGTTCGTTCAAATAGTCGAGAAGGTGGAAGCGCCTTTTCAGGACTCCTTAATTGTTCCGATTTAATGTTTTAAATAATTACCTCTGATGAGTCCGTTTAAAGCTCTAAACTATAAATAATTAATTGTAGTTTGTCATAAATTGTTTTAGGAAATTTATTAAAAAATTACTTTGATTTAAAATTTTATGGACAATTCCTTTTATTTAAATTGTTTCGTAACTTTTTATATACTCAATAAACGTTTTCCAGTTACGGTAGTTTCTTACATTTTCCAGGATAGTATAACGGATTTAAATTGCAGTATATATTGGATATTAAATGTTGGATGCTTGTATAAATGTTAAAATCCTCTTTTTTTCTATACTTAAATCGAAGCAAGGGATTTTGTATAAATGTAAATAATTTTAGTAAAATTTTATGTGAAACTGTAGTATATAATGTAACATGTTTATATAATATAACAAATGTAACTGTATAATGTAACATATAATGTAACATATAATGTAACATATAATGTAACATATAATGTAACTGTAGTATATAATGTAACACATGTAACTGTATATAATGTAACATATAATGTAACATATAATGTAACATATAATGTAACTGTATATAATGTAACACATGTAACTGTATATAATGTAACATGAAAATCTAAAGAAGCGAACCTTTGCCAGGAAAATAAAAATACAGAGCCAAGTCTATTGAACATCGAGTAAATGATACGTCGTTAAATTGGCAAGATAGCGCCAAGCTGACAAGGGTTTTGGCGATTTTGTTCCCGAATTTGGAGAGAAATCGCCAAAAGTCGCCAACGTCGGCGACCATTTGGGGGCATTTGGTTTCGGTCCCTGTACAACTGTAATGAGCATTGCAACTGAATAACTAATTGATCATATATGCAGCTTTAACCGTATCCGGCTCTCACATGGCTTCCAGTAATTTCGAGAAGTGGAAGGTACTAGCCATTTCTCGATGGCAGGGGTGGAACTATTCTCTTATTCTAAACTATTTCCTTAAACTATTCTATTTCTCGGTGGCAAGGGGACAGCAGCAGCGTCTGACTAAAAGTTGTTTAGTTTGTAAGAGATCGGGCTACTGAGACATCCGGAGGAACTTCGCCTTGAAGATTTTAAGTCACGTTCAATGTGGGAAGTCTACTTTATACACTTTATGCGTAGTTCCTTTTTTAGCGAAATATCGCTTTTAGTTTTCATTTAAGGTGTGTGATGAATATAATTGTAATGAAATAAGTTATCTGTATATACTATGCAGAGACATTAGCAGAGGTGATGAAAAATGAGCAAAGCCTTCGCCGGGAATCGAACCATCGACCTCTAGAATACGCGCACAGTGTGCAGACTACCGCACTACGAAGTCACGTTAAGAAGGCAGGAGAAATACCATATAACTTTGTATCTATGTATTTCAGAAGAAATTTACTAACTCAGAAGCATTTTTAGAATTTTGTGATTACTGTTATTTGAAATACATTGAAAATTTTGTTTATTTTATCTTTATTACAATTTCTTTTACGATTAAATTACATTCCCATTTAATCCCAATGAATAATTCATGTAAGAATTCATAATTTCTAAAAAATACAGGAATTCGCATTTTATATAGCAATTCGTAGAGTTCATGATTTACATAAGAATTCATAATTTTCACAGAATGTTATCTACTACAGTCACGCATAAATAAAAAAATAGTTTATGTTTTTTTAATTTATGCTTGATTAATTAGTACTAATTCCTTTATTCGCTGTTTCTGAAAATGCGTTCCTATGACTGTTTGTTTTGTCTTTAGCACAATTTCTCTCACACTTCAGTTAAATACGCCTTTATACTCAGTCTTTGTAAATGTAACCTTTAATAACTTTCATAAAAATTTGGGAAAATGTTCAGCGAATTATTTAATTATGTAAGCTACGAAATAAATCAGTTTTACGTATACTATGACTTTTATTTATTTATTTTGTGTGGCAGAGAATTGTTCATTTAACCTTGATTTCATTTTAGTGTACATCTGCAATATATTAACTGTTAGTTCTCCTGTAATATATTTTGAAAAGTATTTCTCGTTTAAATATATATTGACAAACAATTGTTTTATAATTCATGTTCTTTCCAAACAAAGCTCATGTTGATTTTCTAATCATCTCAAGTTAAAATTAGATGGCAATCAATGAAACAGCTGAGATTTTATTTTAATTTGTGAAATTTCATTAACTCATATCCATTTTGAAGAATAAGCATGCTATTTTTCGTGAATTGTTTTGCTAGTATTAAACAAACTATAGTGTGAATGCTGCTATTCATTATAATATTCTGAAACTGAACTGGTAAGTACTAGATTACGAGTAATCATAAACTTAA